CATAGGGTATAACTTCAGGTCATCTCTGGTAGTGATTCGGGGGACCCTGACCGCACAGCGCTACGTCAGTGACATCCTGCATCCACATGTCTTACCCCTCCTGAGCCAGCACCCTGCTATAGTCTTTCAACAAGACATGTGTGTCTATGGGCGGCCTGTGGCATGTTGAGGTCCTCTAGTGGCCAGCCAGGTCCCCCAGTCTTTCCCCAATCAAACATGTGCAGGATCAGCTTGGACATCAACTCAGACACAGTCCCAATGGCCAGTTACAACAGCTGTGGGCCGACTTGCCACAGGAGAGGATACAAGCACTGTGCCTATACTGCCAACTCTGTTGTCCATTTGATCTGATATTATAACCATTGCGATACAGTCACATGACCTTTCACCATGTGCAGATTCATTTCATTTCTACCATTGCGTCTTGGTGCTTAACTTTTTTTGTCACTGAGTGTAGTAAATCGTGCCCACATTGTGGGAACAAACTAGCAAAATGTGCCCATGATATATAATTTTTATTGTTATGTCATGAATGAGGCTCTGCATGTTTCAGATGAACGTTTAAAAATTGCATCTTCAGTCAGGGTATACCTTAATTTGCAAAAGTGTTTCACTGAGGTCCTCAACGCTCATATCAAATGCCTGAAGTAAGGAAGACAGATAAAACATTTGAATGAGGACTATTGTCATTGTATACAAATAATTAAGTCGGGAGTATCAAATACTATCTGAACTATGTCATGACTTGGTACCTCAGCCACTGAATCCAGTTTCTCTTGCAGTGATGTCACTATCTCTTTGCAGTGCAGGACTTCCTTTTCCAGAGAAGCATGCTTTTCCTGTTCTGACTCTTTGGTGTCTTTTGGAAAGGGTCAGCAAAACAAAGAGGAAGTAAAAGGATAAAGAGCAAGACACAAAGCGACAAGACATAAAGCAGCTCCACCTGCTTTATTGAACTAAACCATTATACCTGACAAACACGTTCTTCTAATAAATACTTAAACAAGTTTCATTCAAACACCTCAAAAATTTCTTCAGTTAAAGCATTCAGAGATACTGAAGCATGTACAAAAATACATACTATTTAATGAAATACCAAGAAACTATGCTTTCATGCTCATATGGACACAGAAGAACACAGGAACCTTCACATGAAGGTGTCTCACTGACTTCTCTCTCGTTGCTGCAGTTCTTCGATGCTGTTGGTCTCCTGCTGCATTCTCTTCCGCTCCTTCTCTAGCCTCTCCTTCTCCTGTCGCTCAACTCTGAGCTCCTCCTGCAGTCTGTGAATCTCCACCCTCCACGTCTGCTCCTGCAGCACTTGGTTCTTGTCCATTTGGCCCGCGTGCATTTTCTGATGGTCCTGGGCAGTGATAGTGCTGAAAAGAGAGGAATAGTCACTGGAACAACTTGCAAGGATATATATGCCTGCATATTTTGGCCAAGATGCTATCTTCATGAGAAAATGAGAATATGATGTTTCTTCAGGTTTTACTTACAGTAAGATATCAGATCATTACATCAGAATTTTTGGTCGTCAGCTCATACAAAAAAAAAAAAACTCACCTTTCCAGAAGTCCATCATAACTGTCCTTCAGCAGGTTCCTCTCCCTTTCCAGGTCAGCCACGCGTTCTTGGAACTGAGGGAAAGAGAGGGGGACAAGGCTTTGGAAGCACACATAACATCTAAATTTAATTCCCCGATACCCAGTACTTTATATGAATCATATTATATCCTTAATACATTCTTAAAATGAAGCTCTAATATGTATCCCCCTTCAAGCAGAATTAATTTACAGTGAGCTCTAGAATTTTTGGCACCCTTCATGAATAATGTATAAAATAAACAACAGTCACAATAATTAAAATGTCCTGCATGAGCATTTGGGGAAACTGTATACTGTAATTTTAACACAATTTGTCTAAGAGAAAACATTTCTCTGTTGATTTGGGATGCATGTTTGAGGTCAGTGTCTTATTGGTCTATGACCAAGTCTCAAATGACAAATTGGTTTTGGAAAAAAATATCCTGGCACTTAATGATATTTGTTATGAACACGGCCCACTAGTGAAAATAATACCAAACTATCAGTGATCAAGCACTATATACCATGTGGACGTCAGGTGCTTTGCCTTGCATGCAGTCCTCCTTTGACAGCAATCATGACAGTTTGGTTTTATTTTAGCTATTCTTCAGGGTTGATAATAATTTTGAAAAACCTGTACTTCGCAGTAAAAATTATACTACTCAAAATGTTAAGGGTTTGAAACATTTAGGTAGAATAAAAATATACAGCTTCCCCAAATGTTTGAACAAACCATTTCAATCAATTGTGAATTGTGTGTAATATTTTCATTTTTATGAAGCACTAATAATGCTTGAGTTAACTCCAACTGTATCCACTTCATTTCCCAACATGTGTTGCCCGCAAAGGCAATATTTACTGTAAAAAGTATTTTGTCCTTTGCTATTTTTTCAGACCAGGAACCACTTGTTGAGATTCTTTGTATTGTCCAGAAACATATTCTTACGGGATATTTTAGGACAATATTTCAGGGATTTGTGGTTCCTTGCCAATATTTCATTTTTTTTAAATGCTTATCGGCATGGAGTTTAATCAATGAAAAAACCTTAATAATTAGGTTCTGCTCTATTTTAAAAACTGCAGTACCTCCTCCAAAGCTTGCACCGATACCATGGCAGTACTCAACTGGCCTTCCATAGTTAACGTCTTCTGTCGTTCTTGTTTCAACTCTTCTGTTAATTCCCCCACCTTCTGCAGAAGAGCCTCTTGACACTCCTTAAGTGCCTTTTGACTCTTTGGCAAAGATTTTTAATACAAAAACAAAAACTGAATATACTGTACAAAAACCTTTGATCAAATGGGCAACTTTAGTGCGATCAGCTGAAATGCATTCAAGGAAACAAATACTGTATAGTAAGAATAACCTATTTAGTCATATAATGTTAAATAACAACGTGTCTCACAAGTTGTAATAACTGGATAATTGAGAGAAAACCCCATTGTGTGTTTATTGTATGTCTGGTGTCTCTTACCTCTACTAGCCTGGCTTCATATGACTGCAGGGAAAGGAAAAGCAGAGTGTGAGGGATTTAAAAGCAAATCAAAACAATTCTGTTAACTAATGAAATAGTCACAGCTGACACACAGGTACCTTACAGACTGTAATTAAGCCAGAGTGCAGAGAGCATGTTTGTGGCCTATAAAAACTGCCTCCAAATCAAACACTGGTATCAGGCAGAGCCTGATGTTGACTCTCTGGGCAGGCCTTACCTCCCGCAGCACATTAACCTTCTCCTGAATAACTAGCAGGGCCGCTCCCTTATCTGCCAACTGTTTCTGTAGGTGAATCACATCCAGGTTTTCCTGTATTGCCACTCTACAGAAGGGAGATGAGCGTATATCACACAGAGGCAGGTGCACGGATGAATAACTGGAATACACCTGCTTGAATTCCACATGACTACATGTATGGGCAGGCAGGGTTTAGCCAGGCAGAGTGGAGTTGTACCTTATATATGTATTGGTAGCCATCTATGGTTACTTGAAAATTCGGTAACACTTTAGCTTCGTGATACAGGCCCATGTTTTCTGCTTAGTTCAAAGTACCCCAGTTTAATTTAATTTGTCTGCTAATGGTTTTAGCGGAAAGTTAAAAGTTAGCGGAAATGCTAATCCACCAAGGAAAAGATTAGCTTTGTTAATTAGCGGTTAGCAGATTGGCGGCACCCTGCCCACCGCTGATAATTTGATAACATAAGTAATTTCTAAATCATTACAGTATTCTTTATAAAAGTGCATTTTTTTACGTTTGGAATAATTTCCAAGAAGGCATATTTTAACATGCATGTAAAGGAAGGAGTTTGAAGATGCTTTGCATGATGAGTGATGGTACTGATACAAGGGAAAGAATTGGGTTTTTTTTTAATACTGAACCACCGTGATGGCTGGTATGCAACTGATTGTTACTCTACTGAAAATGCATGCACAGATTCTGAACACTGGGTGGCAAAGGACACCTCAGCATGCAGACACATGTACGTAGAGATGCAGACATCAGCACACCTGTTGTTACCAGCCTGTTGTCTCCTTAGCTCCCTCAAGGCCTCCGTAACCTCGCTCTCCCTCTCTCTGACGGAGTCTGTCATTGACAGGGCAGTCAGCTCCAGCTCCTCCACACTTGACTGCTGCATGCTGGTGGCACTGCTGGGGTATGTGGAGAGACTGTTGCATATGGAGCAAATTTAGAAGGTGGGGTTTAGCTAAGCTGTGGCCGTAACGTTGTCGATGCCTGTCACGGTGGCAATCCCCAAACCCGTTGATGGGCACTAGTGGTAAAGGGAACTGTCAGGCTGAAGTAGGAGGCCTTCCAAGATTGGTTGGCTGGTGGGAGTCCTGAAGCAGCTGACAAGTACTGGCATTCTGACAGTTGCTGAAGCAAAAAACATGGTGTGGGAGGAGTTTGGGGAGGCCATGGAAAATGACTTTTCATCGGCCTTAAAAAGATTCTGGCAAACCGTCAGGTGACCCAGGAAAGCAAAGCAGGGCTTTACTCAAGTTATTTACAGCAGGGATGGAGAAATGTTGACCTCAAATTGGGATACAGTCATGCAGTGCAAGGAGTATTTTGAGGACCACCTGATCCCACTGATACACCTTCCTAGGAGGTTAAGAAGCAGGTGGATGGATGGATGGACAGACGGATGGATAGGCTAGACTAAAGGTCCCCAAGAGGTGGCCCATGGACCAAATCTAGACCACAGTAGTCACCCTCTTCCCACTGTTTGGCAAATTTTATCTGCATATGAAAAAACCTAAACCAGAATGACAGAACAATACCAGGGGCGGTGGCCTGTAGGCTTTGTGTTATTCATAACATTTGGCCCTCGGGGAACAATAATTGGGGAACTCTGTGCCAGACCCTTAGTACAAATCCTTTGCACAAATGTTAACCCCTTTAGTGTAAGCTCACAGCTAGGCCATGTACACCCCACAGGCAAACATACTCACGGCCTCCCCATCTCTCCATGACTGTCGGCCTGGGAAATCAGTCCACAGTGGGGAGGTGCAGTCAGGGCAGCCCTCCGAACCCCCCTACTTCTGTCCGGGACGCGACCTAACAGTACAAAGGAGGAACTGGTATGTTGATGTGCTGTCATATATAAACAAAAATGTATACATACATACTATAGCAGGGAAACTTCAATGACAACCATCAGTACAGAATGCTGAAAGTTACTATATCGCCTTCTAACTTCCATGTTTTGCATTCTTTCACCGACCTCTCACTCGGGAATGGGCCCTGTTCCCCAGCTCTAGGAATTGCTGCTTGGCCAGGTCCAGCTTGCTCTGCAGCGCCTCCTTCTGGGTCTCCAGCGTGGCCACGCGGGCCTCTAGTTCCTGCACGGTCTCATCCAGTTCCTTCTCCCAGGCACCGCCTGGCCCAGGATGCCTCTGCTGCAGCTGCATTACCTTTGTGGACAATCTAGGGAGACACAAGTGCTTTTTAGGCTGGAAACCAAATCAATTTACACCTAGTGGCAGCCGCTACTTGAGAAATCATTCCGTGTGCCTCCATGCCAGCACCTGCGCATCTTCCGCTCCTGTGTGCGGCAGTGCTGTTTCAAGATGGTGTTCTCCTCCTGTAGGCGAGAGCACTGGTCCTCCAGCTGCTCTCTTGACATACGGTACATGGGCCAGCGATCTGGTAAAATTTTACAGTCAACATTAATGCTACTTTATTTAGATGGTTTAGTCTGGTGGAAAAACTCCACTTTGTCGTCATCATACCTTTAATCTTCAGAACCTGGGGCTTCCTCATTGACTTCACATTCCTGGGGGAAGCTGGCAGAAAGCGACAGGTAACTTACATACACAAACACACATAGGTACTTAAAAGCACATACAGGCAGACATACAGAATGTGCCTCACCATACACTGAAGGCACGAGACCTCCTCTTGGACCGAGATCTCTTACTGGAAGGTCCCCTGCAGTCTCATCCACGGCCAATGGCATCGTGGCACAGGTAGAGGGGCAGCCAATCAGCAATTCTTTAGAAGGTGGTCTTGGTGATCATCCAGGATCAGTCACATTTGCATACTCACACACACTGGCCCATTAATCTGTTGAAGCCCTGAAAACAATCAATATGTCTATTTTAAATTGATGTTAAAATGATTTCAGGAAAGAATTCCATTGCCATACATGTATTGATAATTAACATAATGTCATATTGGGGTGTTTCACATAGCAAGTGAGTCATATTATGAATCACCAACATTATAAGAGTAAAATTAAGTATGTGCCGAACTGGCTTAGGATTTGTATAAAGCTTTCAGCCCTTAGTTAAAAAGAAATTCAAATTCAAAATGATGTTCACCAACCCATTCTTGTGCTGAAAGTTACCCTCAAAGATCTGACAAACTTGTTTGACTTGAACAGCAACTGTGATATTTCATGAATATAACCATCACTGGATGTGGATGCCCCTGTCACGGAGACTGAGAAACCCCAGCCTAATCTCCCATCTGTCCTGGGTCAGCAGACTGTTACACATCCCCTGTCAATCCAGCCGCGTCGCCAAATCACATTACACCAACAGAATGAGTACCTGATGCAAATGATGCTTTTTTGTTAAACATTTATTCAAAATAAGAACATATCTAAAAGTTTGCCTAAATACAAATGTCTATTAAACATTACGACAACATACATGATTAATAATATTTATATATATCAATATTATATCAATAGTATATGTTGATGCATTTACACTACTTCATTGATTTAAACATGCCAAAAACATTCATGTACGATTGGGACAATGCATGCTTTGTAGACATTCTTCACCAATAAAAGCTATCTGAAGATCTCGGTGTCCGCTGCTCATATCTGTCACACACCCCAAAGTGTGTTTCCTGGTATCTCAATGCGGGTTCAGCAGGTAAGACAATGCTGCAGCTCACTTAGATGGAGGTATATATTGTCAAATTACCTGTTTTACGCTGAGGCAGCCCTGCTCCAAAACGAAGATTATTCAGGCTGGACCAGGTGATCCTGATGCTTGATGGTATCCAGCAGCTCAGTCGCAGCAGAAGGTGCTGTCGCTTTCACTCCCCCGTTACTTGCCACACTTTTTCATATTAATGTGTCTGGTCTGACAAAATTCCCTCTTGTTGCAGCTTCTGCACACCCCTCTCGGGCTGGTGCTGGTAGCGTGTGTCGCCCCACTTCCAGTCACGCTGGAGCACCAGAGCTAATCTGTTTGGCCTGCTAATAAACTGTGGCCACCTGTGTCTGTAATCAGATTATGGCGGATGAAGACTGGAAAGGGTGGATGGAGGACTACAGAGCAGCAGGGTTAAGGGACTGGGGGAGGGTAGAGGAGAAAGAATCAATGTGCATGTTTAGGGGTGAGAAAGAGACTGGGTGTGTAATGAAAGCTTTTGAAAATACCATCCATCCATCCATCCATTTTCCAACTGTAAATGGCCATGAGGAAGCCGGGAGCCAACCCCAGGCAGCAGAGGAAACAGGCAGTCCATCACATGCTCATTATGGGTTGTATTCAACTCAGTGTATAGATTTGCAATGCCAACTTGCTTGAATGGAAAAGAATAGTAATATGTTACTAATCCCTATGGGGAAATTCTCTTTTTCCCCCACAGAGCCCCATCTTGCTCTCCACACAGGTGACAACAAACTTAGGGGTCACAGCGAAGGGGCAGCCACCATGGGGCAGCCGGGGTTACGGACATGTGACTATTCTGCCAAGGTTGGGCTCAAACTAGCACCCTTCTGATCATAGGCCCAGAGGCTTAGCCCACTGAGCCACACAAATTTGTCAGAAATGTTTTACATAATGGCCAGGGACAGGTGAAGAACATTGTTCTACAAACCCAAGCAAAGGTAAAATATACATATAATTTTTCCACAGGAGAAAACATGAGAAAACATGACCTTTTGCTGTGCATTTGTGGATTTTAATTTTCCAACACAGACAAAAATTCTACTTCTTTTTACAGTTTCTTTAACTCTGAATAACTCTTTACTTAATTCTGACATTTTCATATCTAGTGTACAGTTACAGACAAACGCCTTCCTCTCTAACACTGACAGGAGAAATGACAAGTGGAGCTTCGTTGTCACCATTATCATTCAAATCAGGGTTGAAAAACGGCAGAATCTTCTCCGTGAAGATGCAGCCATGGAAAGTGTATATATGGGACTTGGCCTCTACATTGTAAAATGAGACCTGGCCAGCCTCGTAATCCACATATAGCCCGACCTTCTGGGGCTTAGCGTCTACGGTGAGCATGACAGCCTCGTCAGCACACGCCCTGTATTCATTCATCCTTCTCAAACATACAGTCCAGTAGCCGTCCTGGGGGGTCAATCTGACCACACCCTTCCTCTTCACTGATGCACTGGCCACTCCTAAGTCCCACGCCGTTTTCTGCCCCACCTCCACCTCCCAATAATGTCGCCCCGAGGAGAAGCTTTCCTTCCCGAGAACAATGGGCGCAGTGTCAAACCTCTCTGGGGTGTCGGGGAGATGCTGCTGACTGTTGCCATCCTTTACTTGTTTTCCATCCACAGACATGACAAGCCAAGCGTTTGCCGTCTTAGGGTCCAGAGTCACGTTCACTGTCGGGTACAGAATAGGCTGTCAAGTTCAAGAATTTCCCTTCTGGGATCAATAAAGTTCATCCAATGAAATCTAAGGTGTAGATGGTGATCTTAACAGCCACACCACATCTAATAGCTTTAAGGAAGTGACATATATACCTGCATACTGGGAGATCCTCATCAGCTCTGTGAAAAGTAAACATTATATATGTGATGTACGTATTGTTTAACTCAATAAAATTTAATTCAGTAAGGAATGAAAAAAGATGACCTTTTTCACAAAGTTTGATCTCTTGCATCTTGAGAAGACTCTCCAGTCTAGACACAGCACTTCTTACTGTCCCCACAAACAGCTCTGAGTGAACAGTGATATCAGACCAGCTTTTGGTCTGTGGGATACTGCAGAGGGATGGCAAACCCTAAACCCACAGGTGGGATAATCCATTAGCATGGAGAAGTGTTTAGGTTCATCTCTAGATACAGCCATATGGACTGATGGATACTGACCTGTAGGAAGTAGATGTGGTCCTCAGTCTGAGAGAGCTCTTCCAGCTCAGTGTATCTCTTGTGTAGCTCAGCAATTTCCTTCCCCAGCTCTTCAATGAGCCCTTTAGTTCTCTGTTCTGCTGCTTTCTGCTTCTCCTCCATCATCTGAATGAGTTGTGCTTGGCTTTTTTCAATGGAGCGTACCAGATCGGTGAAGACCTGCACACATTCCTCAGTCTCCCTCTTTGTGTTGGTCTGGTGGGGGATTAATCAAAAACTATAAAATGAGATGAACTTCTAGACTTTTAATAAGTCACATACAGACGTTCCTCTACTTATGAACTTTCAACCAAATTGTGTTTGTTGGGCTCCCGTTTCCTGTCTGCAACATCAATTTTTTTTTTCCGTGCAACAATTCTGGGTAGTACGGCTTCTGGCCGCTACTCCCACTGCGCAGCAGTGTAGCGTGCATACTCCCAGCATCCTAGCTCTTTGTACTTGCGTATACCCTTATAATGATGTTGAATGACGATTTATGAATATTTCAAGTTACGAATAGTCGTTCGGAATGTATCTCGTTCGTAAGTAGAGGAGCATCTGTACTTTGAACACTACTAAACTCAAAGGAGAAAAAGTACGCTGGAACTGACCTTACTGAGCTTCACAGACTGCTTGAGATCCTCCACTTTTTTCAGTCTGACCTGGATCATCTGCTGAATCTCTGTTCCTGTCACCCCTACCTGATTCTGCCAATAATAAGTAAAAATATTTAATATAAAACATAAGATGGAAGCACACTGCATTCAAAAAAGAAAGAGAATAGGCAACTCATCTCATAATTATGAATTAGTATCTCGTAATTGTGAGATCAGCAAGCAAACAAACAAATTAGGACAAAATAATAACCAGATTTATTTATCTTTGTACTGACTAGTTCTGCCCTGCCCTGATATTTGACACCAGCTAAGTTAGCTAGGCAATTCATTCAGAGAGAAGCTGCACACACCGCTTGTGGGTTGCCAGGTTGCAGTGGCATATGTATTGAAATTGCATGTTTGACAATGTGAGGGTTGTGTGTCTATATCATGTTTCATACACAATCTGGCAACCCGGGTAATGTCAGATGAACGAAAGTTATGGATCCATGTATGATGATTATTTATAAAGATTGAGAGGTAAATTAAGGGAGTTTACCTGGAGAATAAATAATAATAACTACAACAACAATAATAATAGTACAATAAAACAAGAGAGCACCAGTTGATGTCCTTGACACATGGGAAAAACCCGGAAAAAACAGGAATGTCGGCGGGAATGCAGGCATCTCATAATTATAAGACCTTTTCTCATTTCTTTAACTCTTTTCTCATTACGAGATAGTGTCTTTTTTTCTTTTGTGAATGCAATGCGCTTCCTAAATAACAACACTGTATCTTAAAAATTAAATATGTTCAGAAGAATTTTATTATTTTACTCACCTTCCTCACAGCCCACTCTCGCTCCACAGGGACAGTGTCGTGTTTCTCGTGCTCTGTCTCAGTGCACAGCACACAGACGCACATCTGATCTTGCTTGCAGAACAGCTGAAGGGGCCTCTCATGCTTCTTGCACATTCTGTCCTCCAGGTTCTTCACAGGGTCCACCAGCTTGTGTCTCTTCAGGGCTGCGACTCTCAGATGAGGCTCCAGATGTGTCTTGCAGTAAGAGGTCAGACACACCAAGCAGGACTTTTGGGCCCTGAGTTTCTGCCCAGTGCAGACATCACAGGGCACTTCAGGTCTAGGGGAGATTGTTTCAGAACCATTGGCTGTCCTTTTCTTGAACTGTTCAACCATTTCCTTAGCAAATGTATTCTCACGTAGCTCTGGTCTTTCAAGGAAGATCTCCTCACATTTTGGGCACCTAAGAATTTCACTGCAATCCCAGAACTTATTTATACAGCTTATACAAAAGCTGTGTCCACATGGAGTGGAGACGGGACTGGTGAACACGTTTGAGCATATGAAGCACTTGAACTGCTCTTCAGACATAAGAGTTCCTGAAGATGCCATTCCTGAAAAGAAAAATGTATCTTTTCTAAAAATTGTGCCAAGTGATAAATTTCAGCGTTCCTGTGTCATCATAAACACATGGAAAGAAAATGCCCTGATTGCAATTCTGAAGATAATTAGTAATTTCCTTTTAACTGTAACCATTTTAGCTATTATCGTTATAATTGATGTTTTTCATTTTTATTTTTTTCCACAAAGGATAATTTAAAATTATGTTTTATATATGTTTTCGTCAAAGGCAGTTTGTCAAATGCCTTATCATGGGGTCAACATATTGTGCTTTAATAACCATTCACTTAAACTGGTCAGAGACAATGGGCGCAATTCCTCATCGCTAGCGCAGACACTCGGTTCAAAACCGGATACAGCATTCTCATTATTTACAATACTGGACGACTGCGTAGCATACGAAATTTGTGAAACCAAAAAGTCACAAAAAACGGGCATGCGACATGTTTTTAATTCATTTCTTTTCACCATTACCCTACACCCGATAGGTTAAGCAGTATGAAGTTAGGAACTGACTCTGAACTGCAGAAGCGCCGTGATGGTCACTATAGGAAATGAGCAATAAGCCAATGAAACTGAAGGGTGGCTGCGCATCAGCCAATGGCTGTAGAGAGAGATGGTTCGGCATGAAGGTGAAAACGCACGTCAATCAAAAAAGAGTGAAAAAAGGGTAATTTAAAACCTGTCTCGTGCACTTTGCGTGACACCGATTATGCTCCGATGGCGCGTGTGCTCTACGGTGCGCTAAGTTTGTTCCTGTTCTCTAATCCTGTGTGAAAATATAAATACAAGCAGTTCCCAGGCTACGAATTATACATCCGTTACCTGTCTTTAAGTCGAATTTATAGGCAAGATGGAAAAATAATAACACAGTACATAATAATAATTATAATAATGTATACAATGACAATTAAAGTAACTGAACAAAGTACTGTACTGTTCCTCGACCCGACGAACCCCTGCAGTCGCGCACTGTTTTCATGAGCGTCGCAAAATAATGCATTAGTTCTTTATTACGAACCATTGAATTTAACCGGAATTTTAAGTATTATACGCTTTAGGGTTGTCCGTTCTTAAGTACTAGTTGTCGGTATGTCGGGCGTTTTCAACTCGGTGACTGCCAGTATAATAATTAAGTCTGTTGGTAATGCATGTACTTCTGAAATAATGATTGAAAGAATTATAATATTTTTGATTGATACAGACAGCATTCACTGCCTTCTGCTGGCAAGCGCTTGTATATATATATATAACCAGATACACTTGTAGTACCTCTAATAATGTCACTTACAAAATCCAACAGTCCAAAGTGCAGCATATGGTAACGTAAATGACGTATTTCATGGTTCAGATATTGCAGAAATACACAAGCTGCCTTAGCGTGTGGTTTCACTTAGTTGTACCTGCTACTTAATTGTAGCTGGCAGTTTCCAAAGAGCAGAAGTTACCAAAATCATAAAGTTTAAAACTGGTATTTCACTGACCTTTCAATCAGAGTGTGCCTCGATCTTCTCGAGGTGTGTCAGGTTCTAATTTGTTGAGGGAGTTTCAGTTCCTCCCATCTCTGTCACTGGAAGTCAGTCTCTTTATCTTTTTTTATAGTGAATGGGTGGAGCTGAAAAGAATAACAGCACTTAGAGGAAGATTGTATTTGGACAAGCTAAATGTGCTCATATGTCCATTAGCTGTTGCAGCAATCAGTGTCCTTTGCCTTTATTCTAGACATACACTACCAGTCAAAAGTTTGGACACACCAAGCTGCCTACAAAGGAGAGTGATAGAGTATCACATAATATGACCTGGCCACCTGACCTAAACCCAGCAGAAATGGTTTTGGAGGAGACTGACCGGAGAGTAAAGTAAAAGTGCCCAATAGGTGTGTGAATATACATAAACCTCTTTATGGGTAGGTATGTCCAAACTTTTGACTGATACTGTATGCCAGAAGCCTTTCTGCTGTCACTGGTTCTTGTCTTTTTTTTAGGTTATACATTTTTTAAAGGGCTTAGTAGGTATCAGTTCCATACCTTCAGGGTGGTCAGTTTCCCAGCTGTGCTCAGTGTACACTTTCAGTATTTTGGGGCTTCTCAGCAAGTTAAAGAGCATCTGTAGGTGAACATTATAGCATGTCCTGTCTGTGCTTGTGTGGGTTTTATTCGTAGTGTGTGTACCTAGCAGCCTATCCACAGTCTTATTCCTCCTGCTTCCTAGAATCCATGTTCAGTTTTACCTTTTATTGGATACATAATTATGTAAAATGGATAAAAACAAGATTAACCTTTTAAGAGCGGGAATTATTCAAACCGACAGTGTCTATATTTTGCTCTTTTTGGATTTTGGGTGACACAAGGACTCACTGAATAATACTGTCACCTCATAGCTCGAGGATTGGGGGTTTAATGCCACCAACACTCTTTGTGTTTGGAGTTTGCTTGTTCTCTTCGTGTTATATGGTTTTTCTCCCACCCCTCTAGTTCACCCCTGCAGTTTAAGTAAATTCTGTGGTAGTAATACAGTAAATGATGCTGTTGCCAGTAATACAATGTGACTTGAATATTGTTATTATATGTTATGGGGACATATTGCCTCTGCAGGAGAAATGCAAGATTCTCATCATAATCTGTCTGGAACTTAATATCTGAGGAACTTAATCTGTAAAAGTGTAATGCCTTGTTATTGTGTGAGACAATAACTACAACAATGACAATACATTACATCACCATACATCACATGGGCCTTTCAGAGGGCTGGATAACCTGCAGTTGCTCCCGCCTTAGGTCACCTATATGTCAGATGTAATGTTTAGTCTGGCAAACTGTACTCCTGTGGCAAACCCTTCCTAGTTTAATAATTTAATATTTATTACTAATAAGGAAGATCAGTTGGATGGATGATTATTATTATTGCTATCATTGTTAAATAATTATAGTAAAAATAAACTAATATGAAATACCACAAGTCCCTGAAGAATTCAGTTTTATTTGAAGATACAAAATGTACCATACATACCCGGCTTGTGCAAGAAAAAAAAAACAATTCATCACAATGATTGATCACTAATAATGTGCCAGTATTAATGCTTTTACTATAACATCCTTACACAAAATTGAGGTTAGTTTTTTTTTATGAAACACTTTAAAGCAAATGAGCAAATATCTTAGCCGTGCAGCTGATTCTCACATACAGAAACCTTTTTTACTTAGAAAAAAAAAATACAATTTCGAATGCACATTATTAGACTTTAAATGTGGCAGTCACTGTGCATGGGAGATGGATGAGATGATCAGAGGACTGGAATTGTTAACACCATCATTGTGACAGGGGCTGAAGAATGGATACAGTTTACCTTTGAAGGTATAACCAGTGAAGGTGCAGATGGAAGACCTTTTGTCTACATTGTAGAAGGAGACCTGCCCCTGCTCATAATCCACATACACCCCCACCTTCTGGGGCTTCTCGGCAAGAGAGAGAGCAACAGGAGGTGAGCAGTTTGCTGAGTATTCAGTCCCATTCCTATGCCAAATTGTCCAAAATCCATTTTCTGGGAACGCAGTAAGCTCTCCTTTCCTGTTGATGGATTCTCGAACCACGCCAAGGTCCCAGTTTGTCTTATTCTTGACCACTACCTCCCAGTAATGACGCCCAGTCGTGAAGCCTTCGGTCGCCATGACGCACAGACAACAGTCAAACCTTTGCGGGTTGTCGGGAACATTTCGCACAGTGTCTCCATCATGCACCCTCTTTCCATCCTTTGATAACAGCAGGGTTGGGTGTGCTGTCTTGGGGTCAAAGGTCACATCGACTGCATAGAGTAAAATTTTGGTACTTCATAAATCATGTATGGGCAAAATACGGTCAGTTTTAGTTCATTTTAATGATAATTATTCATTTTCAAGAAGCCACCCACCAGCATATTTCTGTATTCTCCTGAGTTCTGTGACAGAAGACACAAAAGCAAATCCTCTTACTGACAGTGAATATAAGATCTGTAAATGCAATTCAATAGGCTATGGTAGTAATATGAAGGTTAGATAGTTTTACTTGCATTAGTATGTTTCTGGTGTAATATTTTAATTGTGATCCGTAAGTGAATAAATATGGTACAAACCACTTTGTAGCTGTTCATCTATTACTTTGCTGATGTGTTCCCCAAGCTGACCATACACATTCCACTTGGTCCCCACACAATGGTCAGTGTGAATAATGATATCAGACCAATCTTTGGTCTGTGGATCATCACAGGGGGGTGGGAAACTCTACAGTAACAGGGTATATAATTCATCAGCATGGAAGTTGTGTAGCCTCATCTCTAAATGGATCCACATAGAGCAGTAGCTGATAGTAAAGCTCACTGACCTGTAGGAAGTAGATGTGGTCCTCAGTTTGAGAGAGCTCTTCCAGCTCAGTGCTTCTCCTCTGTAGCTCAGTGATTTCCGCTTCCATCTCTTTAATGAGATCTGCAGCCCTCCGTTCTGCGGCTTTCTGCTTCTCCTCTATCACCTCAAGGAGTTCTACTCGAGTTCTCTCAATGGATTGTATTAGATCGGTGAAGACTCGCACACTGTCCTCAATCTCCTTTTCTGTTCTAACCTTTTGGGAGGCAAACAGGGGATATGTAAAACCAGAAATGTGATGGGGGGGTGGGGGGTTAGTGGTTACTACTTTGGCATCATTGGTTGTTGGTTTGATTCCCAGCATGGCTCTGTTTGTAGAATTTCCATGTTTTTGCTTTGTTTTCTTAGGTTTCTGTTGGGGAATAATGTGGTTTTCTCCAAAAATGTATATTAAGTGACTTGGTGTCACCTGATTGGCCCTAGTTTGTTACTTTGTGCCCCGGCATCCCATTGAGAGTGTCGCCTGTCCTTCGTTTTCTGGGACAGCCTCCACAGTCAGTGTGATCCTGCACTTCAGAAGTGTTTATGCAAAAATGTATTAATCGAAATGTGATCATGACCCGTTAAGGAAAGCTGTCTCAATGTTTGTTGAATAAAAATGATGATTCACCTTGCTCCGCTTTACCAGCTGCTCAATCTCTTCTACTTTCTTCACTCTATCCTGAATCATCTGTTGAATGCCCATCCTTCTCTTTTCCAAGTGAATCTGTAAAAAAAGAAAAAAGAATAAATACAATCAAACAATACATCTATCGAACTGTGTGTTTGTGTGCTGCAGAATGAAACCTGCACAACACGAAGAGAACATGCAAACTCCACACAGAGTGTGAAGCTGGGATTCGAACCCGCAGCGTTGGGGATGAGCCACAGTGTTACCCACTGAACCACCAAGCGACCCTGAAAAATACATGTGACAGAAGAATATCACCGTTTTACTCACCTTCTTCACAGCCCATTGTCTCTCCACAGGGACAGTGTCGTGTTTCTCGTGCTCTGTCTCAGTGCACAGCACACAGACGCACATCTGATCTTGCTTGCAGAACAGCTGAAGGGGCCTCTCATGCTCCTTGCACATCCTGTCCTCCAGGTTCTTCACAGGGTCCACCAGCTTGTGTCTTTTCAGGGTTGCGACTCTCAGATGAGGCTCCAGATGTGTCTCGCAGTAAGAGGTCAGACACACCAAGCAGGACTTTTGGGCCCTGAGTTTCTGCCCAGTGCAGACATCACAGGGCACCTCTCCAGTCGCAACAGAACAATTGACAAGCATCCTTCTGAAATGATTTGCTATTTCAGCGATGCAAGTATTTACATGGAGTTCAGGTGTATTCTCAAAGCACCTCATACACATTGGGCAGCGTGACTGAGTTTGCTTGCTCCAGTACTCCCTGATACAGGCCATGCAGAAGCTGTGCCCACATGGCAGTGAGATGGGGCTTATGAACACATCTAAGCAGATGGAGCAGTGATACAGCTCCTCAGGTAGGAGGAGGCCGGAAGATGCCATTTCTGGAGAAGTAATCGCAGAGGATTTCTGAGATTTACACCTTATAGTCATATCATTACAGTAATATATAACAAGTGCATTATGATCACCTATTAAAAATGCATCAGTGTAATGGAGAACGATTTAAATATATTCAGATTATTTTTTTCTGCTATGTCGATTTATATACCAATGGAGAAAAAAATATTTAACTGGAGGTTACTGTGTGCACTACATGTTAAAATCCATAGATTGTAGTGTTTCAGAATCAACTGAAAAAATGCAAAACTTTTGTGAACAGACCAAACTGAAAACAAATTTTATGTCCTTAATCTGACTTTACATATTACATTGTTGGATTATTACTTAAATGTATGCAGACAAGTATTTAAATTAATAAACTTTGTGTTTATATGCTATTAACACATTATTTTTGTAATACATGAAAACTTAACAACAAGGCCACTGAAAAATAAGAATTTATAATACTAGAAGTCAGTAAAGCACAAGCCGTCATCTGTGTTGCTCACCTACTGAGCAGGGTCCCTGTGCTCCCAGATCTATTTCCAAACAGGCCACACTTTAAAGATCCCCGTTTTCCCTGTTTTTACTTTCACTTCAGTGGCGTGACGTGGCAGAGGCCCCGCCCACCCAAAGCGGCAGCTTCCCCTTGCGTGTGTGGGTGTGTCTAGACTTTAAAGGCACAGAGTCACCGTGATCCCTCAGTACAATCACCTGGCCGAATAAGTGGCGGTTTTTATGAATGACTGCATATATACAGTAGTAGTGTTGCATTGTGTGGCAGTTTTGTGTTTCAGTTTCAGTGCTGTGGTTTCTTCCTGAAGCCCTTATCTCCAGAGATCACTAAATGCAAAAGAACTAATCCACCTGGGGAGAAATCAAGATTCACATGACTACTGGCTTCCACTTACCACAATGACAAAGTAAATAATTGGCTTCATCAATCAGCAACATGATGCAGCTGTTTTACTGTAATGAGTCTCTTTATTAGGAACACCTGACTAGTGTATAAGGAAGTCTTTGAGAAGTCTTTAAATCTGCTTGCAGTGTTTGGCTACAGAAGTATGCTAGAATCCTCCAAATGAAGTGCATAATTGGTGAGAAATAAAATAACATTATTATCAGATTTCAAGGTATATTATCATAATATAGTGATTCATAACCATTAACTTGCTTTATTTTTCAAGGGCTATTATCTATTAAATAAATAGTTCAACAGCCACACTTAATTATGTTAATATTATTACATTATATTCTGAATTTGATAAAAAAATTAGTATAGAAAAAGACATTCCTTTCTAATACAAGTCTATAAGAAAGAAAATACTGTGCTTATATGATTTTACTCTTCAGTAGGCATTTTTCAATTGTTTCAATAAAAACATTTACTAGTTATTAAATGCAGGATTTGAATAGTTAAATATAATGGCTGAATTGTGTAACAGATATTGTGTTTGGAAAGAACAGACTTGCCTAAAACCAATCTTAGGGTGACCAGATAATCAAGTCAGGGAGGACACTCTGTACACTACCATATTAATTGAATAAAAATTGATCCCCTTGTTTTCACTTACCATTGGTGACAAATTCATGATAATTAATAGGAGACTGACTAATCAGCACATAGTAGGTACTCATTGCTTTAGTGAAATCCAGATGCTTTTCACTGAAATTGTAGTTTACAAATGCTGGCTTAGCTCAATGTGTCCTCCCTGAGATGCATTATCTGGTCGCCATACAAACACTTGTAGTTTGTAGTGCATTATTTGTAGAGAATCTAAGCTGTTCCAGTGCTCCAGACTCTCAGGTTAAAATAAGATTGTGTGTGGAGTTGCATGTTCTACTTGTGTTTGTGTGTGTTTTGTTCCACGGTGTAAAAACATTCAGCTAAAAGCAAAGCCAGTCATTCTTTTTTAATTAGTTTGTCTATCTTTCTATCATGTTGTTCATATCTAACTTTGCCACTGATAAGTTGTTCGCTTTTTATCTTTGCCTATTTTGAAATGGTTTCACAAGGCTTGCCTTTATTTTTAAAACTGTGAGGACCACAAACTTGGTTTATCATCAAGCACTTTTCTAATGCTGTTTTGTGCCTAGTCAAAACAGGCTGTAGTTGTTTTTTCTGTCACAGTCAAATACCCAAGTTGTAAGTGGAAACCAGAAAAATGGTAGTCTTTCATTCAAAAAAGCAAACTTAACAGAAATGTATATGGTTAGATTTGGTTTTTGTTAATGGTTAGCCTAGCCATTAAAAAAAATGGCTTTGGTAAATCCAGTTTCTGAATCAAAAACAGAAATGAAATCTGCAAAACTTGGCGTTTTGTTGTGTCTTACTTCCATTTCAAGACACTAGATCAAATCCTTGCTGGACTGTGATATAATTATGGGCCTATTGACCTCCAGTGCATTCTTCCTCCAGGTGCCCTAGAAGAAAAACACATGCAGTCATACTGTAAAGCAAGGTTTCTCAACCCAGTCCTCGGGGATCACCAGACGGTCCACGTTTTTGCTCTCTCCCAATTGGCAGGGAATTGGGAGAGAGCAAAAACATGGACCGTCTGGTGGTCCCCGAGGACCGGGTTGAGAAACCCTGCTGTAAAGAACCCTTCCAATACTGTGAAGACACTGCTGATGAAATTGCACTGAGATGCAGTGCTGTACCTTGTTCCTCTACTAAGTGGAAGATCTGTCCATCAGCCTGAGTCTGCCAGTGTAGCGTGAAGTTTTCTGATGCCCCTCTACCAATCAGTTCCTTGCGTAGCTGGATAATCACAAATCGGCATGTTTCCATTTGCTATCAGTAGACTATTGTATTCTTCTAACGGGAGACTCGTGTATATGAAAGAGAAATCAACTGACCTGCATTAAAACAAGTTCGCTGTAGTCTGTTACATCTCCGTCAGTTCTGATTTTCACACTGACCACTGTTTTTAGTCCGGTGATGGCTAAATGACAAATTGAATCGGGACACAATCACATTTGAAAGAACCACTAATGAATCATCTTCCATAACCAAAAAGAAAAACAAACAAATTCCGGATGTTAAGACTGCATGGTGGAATCGGTATGATGGAAACTGGTTATATGGAAACTTGTCTTTCATGGATGCTTTTAAATCAAAAGGCATGTCCATTTGCTGTGCTGGGATCAGCAGCTGAGCGGTAAATGTTTTGGGGATTTTATAGTCAGTGGTGTTCTTTTTTTGCACTGTGTTGTGTGTTTTGAGCACTCTGATTTTTATGCTAAGTGAAGAAGTTTATTTAAGTTCAACAGTTATTGAGGATGACGTATTAGGATGCTCAGTGCTCCACAGCTAGTGTGGTGATTGCGGGCCCTGAGATATGACAAGGTCTATAGAATACAACTTACCTCTATAACAGACAAATGGGTAACTGTTAAGACAGTATTGACTCTTCCAATTTCCGGAAGAGTCGATAGAAGTACATCTCTTTGAATTGTCTGTCATCATCCCCAGTTCTGCTAATTTCCAGCTGTAGAATGTGGAGTTTGCCTGGTCTGACCACTGCCAGAAGTCCCTAAACAATCCAATCCACACCTGTGTCCCCTGTGCCACTTCAGCATATATCAGCTGGTTCTCATGCAGATTGTTAATAGTGACAAGGTCTGTGTAATATTTTCTGCAGTAACTCTGAGCGTCAGTCCATGTCATAAATATCGTAATCCAGATGTATCTTTGATTGGAATTTCTACCTAAAGATGAGGAAGGATTTGGTCATTAAAAATTCATAAAATCCATCCATGTTTTGCATATTTTTTACTTTCCAATCACAGGCACAGTGTCTTGACCCAAAATCACACACTATGACTTGTGCTGTGTATGTATGTGTGGTATTCTCTAAGCCTTTGTAAGTCACCTTTTCCTGTTATTTTTTGGTGTTAGTGGGAAAAGTGTAAGAACTGTAGGTTCCAGTATAATAATAATGAAGAATAATAATAATCACAAATGTCTGCTACCAGAATTTAGTAGTCAAATTTATGGAAAATTACTTGCCGTCATAGCAAACAAAGTAGGACAGGAAATCGCAGGTATAATCATTCCAGTATCCTGAGTTTCTTATGACAATACAGTTCTCCTGTCCACCGTTATTGTTTGGTTCACCCAGAGCCCAGTTATAGAACTCAACATTGCTGTAGAAGCTTTGCTCTTCTAGGGACCACTGCCACATCCATCCACCTGGCTTCTGAAGTCCTATCCAGGCTGCTCCCGTGTAAGCAAGGCCTATACTGTTAATCAGCCTTTGCATATCGTCTTGATTCTCAATGGTAGCCAGATCATCATAGGTCTTTCTACAGTAAGACTGAGCTTCAGGCCAAGTCATTCCAATGTCAACAAAGTAATAGTGATAAGAGAGACTGACAGCCGGTGGGTAGAATCCTGTAAAATGAATAAATCACACATAGCAAATGAATTATGCATGCATCAATCTTGTTTTGTCTGAATTTGAATGTCAACTTGTATGTTTTTTGTGATAGTGCTGAGAGGTAACTGACCTGACATTAACAGGATTAGAAACATAGCTGGTTCAATAACCTTAGTCAGCCTGTGGAATACAATAACACATGTACATGAGAAAAAAATGGAAGTCTGAAAGCTTTTCTCAAATATTGGCGTATTTCAGAATCTATAATTAGTCCTACAGTGCAGACACGTTCCGGCACTAGAAAGGCAGCTGAAAAGTAAAATAAGAATAGATCTTTACCCATACTTATACCTCAGTAGTCCCTAGAAACAAATTCTCATGTGTGTAGGTGTGGAGTGAAGGTGCATAGAGAGGGTGGTCATGGCTGGTGATGGGGCTGAGACAGCAGGATGATTACTTCCACAGCAATGCGCTCCACAGCTTCTCTCCCAAATGCTAATACCCCCTCCTCATCTTATTGGCACCAGATGAAAGCCCCTGTTTTCTCTGACTCAACTGTAGTTCACCTAATGCTGGAGAAGTGGTAAGAATATGGATGGATGGATTTCAACGATTACTATCCAACTCTGTTAGGGCTTTCTGACCAAACTGTTGCAGGACCAATTCTCTAAACCTGTAGCAGAAGCTAGAATTTAATTAATATTTAGTTTTATCAATAATAGGTATTTATGCAATAATTCCCCTGCTCTGGTTTCAGTCTGATTTTCCGGTTTCCTTCTCCGGTCCCTTGACATGCACCCTACATCTAGTGTGTCCCCCTGAATTGTGCTTTTTGTTGCCTGGAATTGCCTCCAGGCAATAAGGTAAGATGGTGGCTAATAGATGAGCAACAATTCAACTTTGTACAAAGAGTCATTTCCAAGCTCCTGCAGCCCAAGAAGTGAACGATGGCAATAACATGACCCAGCTGCATTTTCCTTAACACACCTAGTCATCAGTGTCATTATCTTGCCAACTTTGCATTAATCATTTATTCATTTCAGTGTCTTTCCAAGACACACCTGGCCATATTTCCTGTGATGACCTGCCTCTTTCCACAACAACCAGTATGCATTTATGCAGTAGAGGTACACCCCATGGACAAAAGTCTTGCAACACCTGGTCATTACACCTACAGCAGCGGTCACTAACAGGCGGACCGCGGTCCGGGTCCGGACCAAGAAGCTGTCCCATACGGACCCGGACCGACAGCCAAAACATTTAGTTATTATTTCGAAACTGACGGGGCGCTTTTATTTTAACCGGCGCAGCGTTTGTAGTCTTTTTGGTAGTGGTTTAGCAGTAGAACCTGAAATCGTAAAGCTGAAGCCAGCTGGCTGAAGTTCTATGTCACGTGACAATAAATAATGTCAAAACTTTTTGAATTGTACTGAATTAATTTGATTTGACAGTCCGGTACTGATTACATACAACGTTGATGCAACTAATAGGCTACTTAAATATATATCACACTATTAAATAGTTAGACTTTATGATCATCTGGACCTTTGCTTCAAGATTTTTTCTCTAACTGGACCTCTTTAAATTTTAGTTGAATACCCCTGACCTACAGGAACTTTTATAACATTCCATTCTACAGCCATAGGCATCAATATGGAGATTATCCCCCCCTTTGCTTTGCACCATTCCATCCAACAACAGAGCACTGAGGACTGTTGCGCACTATGCGCCTCAGCACTCGGTGACCCAACTCTGTTACTTTACATAGTCTGCCACTTTGTGGCTGAGTTTCTGTAGTTTACTAAATTCTCACTTTGTAATAATACCACTTTCAGTTCACCATGGAACATCTAGCAGCTGTTGAAATTTCACAGACCGACTTATTACAAAGGTGGCATTATATGACAGTACCATGGTTGAATTCACTGAGCTCTTCAGAGCAACCCATTCTTTCACAAATGTCTGTAAACCTGTCTGCACGGCTAGGTGCTCAATTTTTATACACCTGTGGCAATGGGACTGAATGAAATGCTTGAATTCAAAGAAGCCACACCTACAACACTGGCCTCAAGGTGATTTTCTGATCTAAACTGCTACCCTCAGTCACCCATCTCTCAGCATGTCACAGACATCACAAATATGTCACATGGTAAACTTTTGAAGGTATAAGCAAAGTGAAAAGCTAATTGGCAGGTAATCTTATAGGACTTGTGCATAAAAAGATACATTAGGAACCTAGCACATTAAGTCCTAAGATGACATTAAGTAGCTAAAAAAATCTAATCAGTCATTGAGTGTGTTTGTTTGCTACCCTGTATTAATTTAATTTGTTATACATTATGTGATATCACTGAAAACTGAGAAATAGCTAGTCCTTCAGACCAGTACAATAGCGTTTTTAAATTAAGGTAGCTTAAGACGAGCTTTTTTATGGCTACAAAATAATTGTACGATATCTTTGGACAAGATATTGTCTCTGTTAATTGGCCTCATTATTTGTTGAAAACTAGAATAGGCAGAGTTCTTACTTTTGTATATGACTTTTGTGAGTAAATATGAATGCAAGATTATTGAAACACCACATCACATTTGAGCATTTTAGACATTAGCAGAACCACATGATGAAGTTAGTCTTACCTATTAGAACTCTTCAGAAGCTCTGCAGTGCATTTATCGAAAAAGTCTGGTGAATCTGTGAGCGCCTCAAAGCTCCTTGCCATTTGTAGTTCCACTAATTTCCATGCAAAACACACAGCAGCATATCACTATGCAGCATATCAATTGAATTTCCATTTGTCTTTTCCTTTAAGTAAAACACTCATTTCAAATAGTAATAAACTGAAACCCAAATTATAGTTCTAAAAGTTAAAAACAGCACAAAACACATTTTCTCTCATTGCAGCTTCATCAACAGTGTCTTCACAGTATTGTAAGGATTCATTACAAGATTTAAGAAGTTCATTGACAACTAGTCTCATTGGGTGCTTTTTAAATGGTAACACTTTTGCAATAACAAAACACGAAACACTTGTGTTTAGTATCCAATTGGGAGCCAATGACTACAATAGCAATTAATGGAATGAACAGAACTGAGTAAAAAAATGACAATAAATGGAGAATTTCTATGTGGAAGGTATGTGCCGATATGTTAAACATTGTTTTCACTTGACTTGTCATGAAAACAATAAATCAACATTTTTACAGAATTAAGCAAGCATCCCAAGATATTCTGTTAACACTGTATGTCTATAATCCTAGTTTTCACTTTTCCATCAGTTATACATCAAATATTTGTCACTGAGACCTCCATACCAACATGAAATGCTGGATTCCATCATGAAAGTGATCAGCAACATGTTTTGCATCACTATATTTAATAGATACTATAGATGATGACACTGATAAACACCTTTGTGTGAGATTGTAGGATGGTAGGATTAAGTTTCTTACATTCATTCTGACTGTTAAGGTTAAAACTGGCATAATATAAGATAATACATAGTACAAGAAACATGGGCAATTGCTGGTGTTATACAGTTTATATTTTGTAACAACTTCTATTATGCCACAGTTTTTACTTTAACAGTAAGAATTAATCAGAGAAACTTAATCCTACTCTCCTACAATCCCAGATCAAAGAAGTTAGTAGAGAGTATAAACTGTACAACACCAACACTAACTCCCCTTGTTTCTTGTGAGGACTACAGATTCTACTCTGTTGATAGACCCTAAACAGATTCCTGCCTACAAGCTACTGTTTTTATAGAACGTTACGCATACAGTACAGTGCTAACAAACAACATCAGCCACTTTGCCTCCAGGTTTTTGCATGTGTAATAAAAATGCATGATATAAATACATTTTGCATTGCAAAGCAATATAGTATTCCTATAAATTCTGTAGTTACAAGTAATGTTCTCTTAAATCAGGACTATTATATACTCCTATAATATACTACTGCTTTCTGTTTTACAGGTCTCTGTGTTTTGTGCTTCTTTCATAAATATTATTGCAGAGAGAGTAACACTGAGCTGACAGTCATCATCAATATGAATGCTCATGATGTGGCTTAAACTCATGGAAGTGGCAGTGTTCTTTGGCAGACAGATATTTTTACACAGAGATACTGAGTTTGTTGCTGAAGAGAGAGAGAGAGCACTGTGTAAAAACAACAGATAATGGTTAATGGCATGACATCACATTTAACAGTGAAGCAACACTTCATTTCTTATAATGGTGTGCAGTTCATACATTTATATTTATAAACACACCACTGAACACTACGATATTAAACTGTCCTTACACTGAATTTCAGAACTTAGAGTTTAATTTGCTTACATATTTTTTATGCTTATGTCCTGGGAAATTGTGTTTTTAGCATAAATCTATTGCATCCTGTCCTGCTTGCATCTTTTTAGGAACACATAACAACCAGACAAACATCTTAATGAAAATAAGACGAATGCCAGGCTCACAGATACTGCACAGAGAGGGTTAGTTTGAGAAGTCAGACTGAAAAACAGCTGATACAAAAAGAATGGAAAAAGTGATGTGGGAGTGGCTTCCAGAGACGTCTGGAAGCGGTCAGACTAGAGGGACTCATTGGCTGTTTATCAATACCAAGAATGGAAAGGACATATTTGTGTTCTTGGGAAGAGTGGCCTTACTAATATGCCTCCCAAGAATGAACTTTGGCCACAATGAATCATGGAATTGCTCTCGTTGGTGAGGATGCAACTGATGCGTCCTTGATATTTGGAGCTGGGCAAGAAAGCCTTGGGTATTTTAACCATCCTATGTACTTGAGCTTTGGAACTGTACTACGGAACATGACAAACAGATGTGTGAGAACATAAGAACATCAGATACGCATATTGCAACAAATATTTACCCTATTTTTGTATATTAAAGTCCTGTTTTAAGAAAACATTACTTGAAACTATACAACTTAAAGGAATACTTTATTGCTTTGCAATGCAAAACGTATTTATATTATGCATTTTTGTAACACATGCAAAAACCTGGAGACAAAGTGGCTGATGTTTGTTAGCACTGTATGCGTAACGTTCTATAAAAACACAGCAGCTTGTAGGCAGGAACCTGCTTAGGGTCTATCAACATAGTAGTAGAATCTATAGTCCTCACAAGCAACAAGGGGAATTACTGGTGTTATACAGTTTGTATTCTGTACTAATTTCTATTATGCCACAGTTTTTATTTTAACAATCAATGAATCAGAGAAACTTAATGCTATAATCCCAGATCAAAGGTGTTCATCAATATATCAGCATCTATAGTATCTAGTAAATATGGCGATGCAAAACACAACGCTGATCATTCTTTCACGATGGAATCCAACAAAGACATATTTTGAAATGTTTTCATACTGATGGAAAGTGAAACATTTCTAATCCACCTTCTAACAGGAGATACATAAGGGTAATTTTGTTACTTACACAGCCTGCCTGTCTATACATCATTAGCATGACCTTAACTGCTACATTTCTGATTGTTGATATACTGATCACCAAGTCATCTCATTTGAAGTCTTCTTCAGCTGGATTACTAACAAGCTATCACTTCCATTTTTTTAGCCAAGGAAATTAGGAACCAACCAATAAATAACTTAGTACTCAACTAAGTTTATTTATTGGTTGGTTCCTAATTTCCTTGGCTAAAAAAATGGAAGTGATAGCTTGTTTTCATTATGTAAGCAGAGTAAACGGCTACAATACCGAACCCCACTAATCTTTATTAAAACAGAAAACCCTCTGCACCATCCTAATGGCTGCAATGCATACATTTCATACATCTTACAAAGGGCATTAAGAATTGTTTACTGCCATGGAAACTATAACTTGTATATTCATTTTCTGTGCTTACGTACATTATTCAGGTTTGTATGGCGATCTGGATCCTATTCCAGAAGCAATGTAGACAAAGTGGGGAACAACCCAGGATAACACTCATACACCTATAGGCAATTGTCCACAATGACACAGGGAGAATACACAAACTCCACACAGTATGAGCCACAGTAAAGACTTGAACCGCAGTCCCAGTGGTATAAGGCAACAGTGCTAACCACCATACCACCCCTATAATGTGTATAATTATATAAAAAATCTAAAGTCAAGTCTATTGACGGTGCTAGGAAACGAGACATGGAAGAAACTTGAATGAGAGAAAAGATATTAGGATTAGTGTGACTCAGTGGGCTGAGCTTCTGTACCTGTGATTAAAAAGCTGCCAGTTCAAGCCCAGCCTCACCAAAACAGTCACATGTCCTTGAGAAAGATCTTTAACCCCCAGCTCCACAAGCACTGTAAGTAGCTGGCCTGTCACTGTGATCCCCAAGCTTATACAGATGCTCCTCTACTTACGAACGAGATACATTCAGAACGGCCGTTCGTAAATCGTTATTAAACATCATTTTAAGGGTATACGCAAGTACAAAGAACTAGGATGCTGGGAGTTCGCACGCTACACTGCTGCGCGGTGGGAGTAGCGGCCAGAAGTCATGCTACCTGGAATTGGCACACAAAAAAAAAAAAGATGTTGCGGACAGGAAACGGGAGCCCAACTAACACAATTTTGACTTACAGTCCTCTTCGTTCGTATGTCTGAAAGTTCGTAAGTAGAGGAGTTTCTGTATATGTACTGTATGTCTAAGGGAGAGCAAGAGGGAAGGAAAAAAGAGAATTTCCCCAGACAGATTAAAAAAGTATCATCAAACCTGCAAACTCTGCCCATACAGAATGGAGGGATTCAAACATTCAACCACCCTTAATAAAAAAAATCTCAATAAAATGTTAAAATATCAATTAGTTTGTGTTGTGTACCCAGGTGTGTTGATCACACAAGGATCGTTCTAGATTGGTATTTCTACTGAAGGCACCTTGAGAGATAGAAGGAATCAAAATGTAGAATTATGGTTACAATATAAATTACCTAGAGAAAAAGTATTACAATATGAGTACCCCATAACAAACTGATCTAAATAAAGATAAAGCTTATAATTTTACACATTTTTAATATTATTTGCCAATACAGTTGTTTCACAAAAAAAAAGCTTCAAAAAAGCAGAGCAATAAGACATAAATTGAAAGTGCACAGTGATACTTCTTTGCTTAAAATTCTCACTGGAAGAATAAACACCATAGTGATTCAAAACACCAGAGGAAGAATTTAACAATAGCACTTATACTTATTTTTTAAATTTAAATAAATTTTTGAACAAATATATTATAAAGTTATTCACAATGACACATTGGCAATCAGTTGCTTTATATGTCTGTCTGTCTCTGTCTGTCTGTATGTCTGTCTGTCTACTCTAGCTAATCAACCTATTTCTAAAATAGACCATCACTGCTCATGTAATCTCTAAAAATCAATTTCATCTCACGAAATTCCTGAAGAAATGATTCCTAATGGCACCTAACTGTTGAATATATAATACGCACCCCCAATTTTATGGCCTAGTATCTTCATCTTGTTCTGCCAGCAACTCAAGGATTACATGGGAGAGTGAGTTAATGTCATTGAGACAGGGGTTACAGAAGAGGGCCGTTGTCACCACGCTATCCTGTCCTTGAAACACCTGTGACAGTTCCTCCCTAAGACGAGAAGATTCCGCTGTGGTCCGCTCCCTTCCAGTGCCCTCACTTTCTGGCACCCTTCTGATCCCACCCCTTCCTCTTCCCCTCCCCCTTCCCCTCCCTCTCTCCAGAGGAACTGGCCGAAAAGATCGACTCCCCATTGTATGGTCACGGTACTGCAGCACTTCTGTCTGCGCATGAGGAGAGGATGAGGCATGTGGAGAGGAAGCCAAACCAGCGAAGGTATGGCTCCCTGGGACTGGAGATCTATCAGAAAGGCAGGAGAAAGAGAACGATGATTTGAATAAAACCAAGCTTCAAGAATTTCTAATACATTTCAAGTCTCACTAAGTAGTATAACTTTAGTAAAAGTTATAAAAAAAACTGTATACAAAAGATGTCACATTATATATTTTGTGTGTGTGTGTATATATATATATATATATATATATATATATATATATATATATGGTATCATTGCACTTTGTGTATCACTTAATCTTCACTTAATTTTCTTCACTTGGTTCATTCTGGAACACAAACATAGCATATTAAGGCTTTTTATGATACCATAGAGCAGGGGTGGGGAACCTGATCCATGGAGGACCGGTGTGGGTTTTTGGGATGGCCTCTCAATCAGCCAATAACAGTGGGTCCCCAGAACTGGAATTGATAACCACTGCTTTATTATTGGTTGATTGAGAGGCCATCCAAAAAACCTGCACCCACACCGGCCCTCCATGGATCAGGTTCCCCACCCTTGCCATAGATGATTGTAATTATGGCTCATACGTGTTCCGGGATGGTACCTGTGCTGGGAGCGGAGGAAGTCCCTCAGGTGGGGTCCCCCACGCCCCAGAGGGTCATCCGGCACCATGAAGAGGTCTCCGACAAACGTGTACTGAAGAAGCCTAGATGGAGATGTTCGACTGTTACTCTGCTCACATACGGTCGGTAGGGGGAAAACTGCTACCACAGCAGATCAAACTAAGAGGACTGCTGAACTTTTGCTAAAGAGGGCTGATGTCATGGCAAATGTCAAATGTGGGAGTAATATTACTACAGCAAATAGAGTCTCTAATTACAGTGGAAGATCAAACAGGAAAAAACTGACATAACGAAACCAGTTACAGAACTAAAGTGCGGAGGTAGCAGAGCTAATGGAAACTTAAAATGGACTGGCTTCTAGCTCCACCTGTTCTTGATGATGTCTCTCCATGCTGGTGACTCATCCACGAGATCCCTCAGGTTATCTTTTGTTACAATAACACCATCCGTGCCCTGGGCTAGTTGCAGCAAAAACCTTTGATATAATGAGAATCCCTGTTAATCACCAATACACACACAGTACCAGTCAAAAGTCTGGACACCCCTGCTTTTATTTAATTTGTGTTTATCTTAGCTATGTTATTGCGCTTACTCTTTGATCCAACTCATCCCGAACCAGTTCTACACGATTTAGGTCCAGGGAGTGTGGGGCCAAGATAATACTTACTACATAATCATTCTAAGTGCACCTTCAGATTGTCTTGTTGAATAACAAATGATTTTCTGTAGATATCTCCAGACTTTTGACTGAAGCTATATACAAATAGATATCGATAGATAGCTAGATACAGATTATATACTGTGTGTGTGTCTATATGTACATATACACACACATACATAATATGGCGTCAGTGAAGTAAAAAGATGATATGGAAAATTTACATACAGTATGGCAGAGACTAGGCTATAGATGAAACAAATGGTCCCACAGCTATTAAAGACATATGTTCTGGCGTGAATAAATAAGATGGAAAGAAGCCAGAGAGAGGCTAGGTCTCCTCACGATACGTTTTTTAGTTTCAATATTTCTTTAACGCAAAACACACAAAACAGTCTTAAATCATATTTGTGTCATGACATCCTAATAAAATCATTTGTTAAAGTTAAAGTCATATTATTTAAGAACGTGTAAGCTAAGTAATATTCTGGTGAATACTAGCTAGCTTGGACTGCTGCCCTTAGAGCCATGTGGGTCCCAATAGGGAAGCTTCTGTGTTCACTAGCGAAACTATTAAAGGTTAAAGTCATGGCAGAACATATGCTCATGGGTCTATTTAGAAAAACTGGCTGTTTAGGTATGTCAGCCTGAGTCTGCCTTCTACCATGCGTTATACAGACAAAGACCGCAGACGTCAGTGTGTGTAACATACCTGTCCAGGATGTGGCTTGCTTTGTTCCCTGTGCTCCTGGGCTAGTTAAGTATTCTTATTTACATTATACATATAACTGCTAAGGATTTAGTTGATTATTGCTAGAAGATTCAAAGGAAATCAAAAAGGTATGTGACATCAGTCTCAAGGCCCACCTGTCATCATAGGAGGTGAATCTCATTCCCTCAACGTCCCTGGATGGAGTAAAGGACAATAAGCCAAGGTTCTGGAGCTCTGTCAGGTAGTGTTTCTCTAGAGGGAAGGAGAAGGCCAGTAGATTTTTAGAAAACCTTTTTTCTTATGTTTCAGTAAAGCACAGATGATTCATTCTTTATATTATATTATATTATATACAAATTTCATCATTATAGATTCCATGTATTAACAAACAAAAGACAGGCAGATTGCATGAGAGAGATAAAGCTTCAGTTAAATTTTTTTAACTAATTAACCAAAATTGAATCAACAATTGAATCATCTTGCTCCACAAATGTACATCATCTACTAAATCTTACCAGACTTATATTTTTAGTTATGTTAACTTGCTAGCAATGATTTTTTTTTCCACTTGTATAGGGATAGCAAGTAATGTACAGATAATTCTTATTTGCTGTCCCTGTCAATTGTATTATACAGTCCAATAGAAGTTTTTTTTAACAAAAAGAAGTACCTGTGACCTTTGGGTCCTTCTTCAGTCTAAACTGGGGGACAAAGACGGTGACCTTGCGGTGACCCTGGTTCCAAAAGTACTGAACAGCCAGGGCGATCCCACGGCATGAGAAGAAGTGGCCCAGACCATGGCTAGTGGACAGAAGGGGTGTATATATTTTTTCAAAAAGGTTATTTTTTTCCTGGAATAAATTTACTTCAAATAACGTTTGGACTTCTCTAAATTTATCAGTGTGAGATTAAGGTAACTAACCACATAACCGTTTTTACTCTGTTTTAACAACGGTGCCAATAATTCCAGATTTTGAATGTCATGATTATTGGTGCCAAATATGATGGTTACAGCATCTCAGAAACAGCCACCATCCTGGGATTTTCACATATTTTGGTATCTAGAGATGGTGTGATTAAAAAAAAAACCAAAAAGATCACACACTGTACATTTTTGTGTTAGTGACACAATAGACAGACAACCACCTCCTGAAAATCAAACAAAAACACACCTTCACGCATTATATTTCTATGCTTAAATTAATGTCATCAAGGTGTCTCAATTCTTATTGTTCTGTGGTGGTCACTCTATATTTTGAGGGCTAATGTGATTTGGTAAGAATGACTTCTTCAACCCTGTCCATCAGATTTCTCTCTGTTATATTTTAGCATATCTGTTAGTGGATTGTATTTGGATATATGTCATTTATTATTTGTAATTTTCTTCAGCACTTTTTCCCCCCTCCTTTTCCCCTGCCCCCCCTTACTCACGTCATGGCAAGGTTGCTCCCATCAATGATCACGTGTCGTAGGCTGGGGTCTCCAGGGTCATCTGTTAGCTTAAGTTCAAAGGGCTTTTGCAGTCCATCATGGAACCGCTGTTCGCCTGTGACCATGGTCTCAGCGCCAATATCATTTGGCCTGTTTTGTTCCCTAAATCTTGCTCTATCATGGGGGTGTTTCTTGAAGGAGGGTATTATCTTCAAAGGGTAAGTAGACTCAGGAGGACCCTGGATGTGGGTGCAGGAGTTGGGAAAGCAACTTGCTGCCTCATTAGCTGCTACTGGCTCCCCAGACATGGTGTGTAGTTCAGGAAAGCACTTCCCCATCTCCTGATCTGGTTTCATCTCATTTCTTCCTTGGCACTGCCTTCTCTCTTTGAACACCACAGCCTTGCCATCTGCCTCTGGAATTCTTGCAAAATCTAAATTTCTTTGCGGGTCTGTGCAGGGCCTCTCTTTCTCATCTCCTGCCCTTCTCCCCTTTTCCCCTCCCTTGGCCCGCTGGGCATCTTTATGCAACTCCTCCAGTAGTTCTCCAGTGGAAAGCCCTGGTAAGTTGCTGTATACCTCCATCACCTTCTCTTCTGAGAATCCACATTTGGCCGCTGCTTCTTTCAAAACACCCAGCACAAAATCCTCCCCTGCTGGTCTGTTGCTCTGCTCCCACTGCACATTCAGTGGTGCATTAACGGTGGCTATCTGTGGGATCTCCTCCATCCTTTCTTCTGCCACCTTGTCTTGCTCCTGCTGGACCAGGTCCAATATCTGAGAGACCTCTTTTGGGCCGGTTCTTGCCAGGATTCTCCTCACCACATCTTCGCTGTACCCCATAGCTGTGAAGAAATTCAGCTGGAGGCCAATTTCCTCCCTGCTGCCCACTGACAAAGCCAGCCCCTCTTTCTCTCCCACTTCTTCTGGCATATGGCCATGTGGTCCCTCCTCCCAAGCCAACCTCTCTTGGTGGCCAATGTCCCGGATGGGAATACAGAATAATGGATTGCGGGGCTCTGCTTCTATTGAAACTTTCCCATCACCCATTCTCTCCTTACCAATCTGCCATCCTTTACTCTCTCCACTGACCCCTGGGCCAAAATGTGTTGGATGGAATGGTGAAATTCTGTGGAGTGATGAGGCATGTGGGGCTTGATCTCTGGATTGCTCCATGTCACCCTCCATATCAATGAACTTCTCAAAATTGTGGCAGCCCTTTCTGAGCCACTCTGCATCCCCAGCTGTGTGTCTGCTGATGTCCATTTCTGGCTGTCTGTATTTATCTCTGTCCTCTGTTAGTGTATCCAGCCTAGACTCTCTCACCATATTTAGCAGGATCTCTTTCACAGCACCAGGCAGATCCAGAAGTTCAGGAGCGTAACGATTCTCCCAACGTTCAACCATGGCCTCGAAGGCCTGTTTAATATCCTGGGACTCATCAGATGACCCAGACCCCACCTCATTGTACAGTCCCTTGCTGCTTTTGTACTTATCCACCAGGTTGTAAATGAATGAATAGGCCTGGCCCACTGGTACTGTCAAGCCAGAAATAAGCAAGGATCCTGAAGATCCCACCTGGATAATAACAAGAGAGTGGAGAAAAGAAACAGCTAAACCCAGAGTTTACATTATATTATTCTTGACACACAGTTTTTTCTTATTGCTCATCTTTCTGCCATTGTCTGACATCCACTTCCTTCACAGCTACCTTACTCTTCTTAACTCTACCTTCAGGATCTCTATTCACCCCGATATCCCTGGTTTTCTCACCACCATGTGCGCTGAAGTATTTTTCATCAGGCAGTCCATGAAGAGCCCTCTGGCACCAGAAAACACACAGTGTAGTTCTTTTGGGTATGTCACCTCTTGCTGTACTTCCTGGGTTGTCAAACCTTTTACAAAAAGCTGAGAACGGGTAGAAAAAAAATAAATACAGCAAGAATATAAAACCAGTGAACAGCACAAAATTTAACACAGTTGGCTCTTCCATATCGCAGGAGTTTGGGACATAGACCCCCTGCGATCTGAAATATCTGTGCAAAATGTTTTGGTCCCCTTAGCAAGCAAAGCAAAAAATACAAGAAACACAAGACATAAGATCACTGCGATATATCACATGAGAGGCTTTCTTAAAAATGCTTGACGTCCTCCAAACCAGCACCGTACATGTATTTTCTGCAGTTACGAGTTACTCAACTTTTTATGTCATCTGCAAAACTCTCACAAACTCACAAAAAATTCCCATTTAATTTCCAATGCCAACCCTGTGGTATATCGTAACCCGATGGGGAATGTTGTGATGCGGAAGGGTACTGATTTTCGGCGCTATTGTCAATATAAGAGTGTTAGAGTACAGTTAAGTTTTAAATGTAGATGACCAACTAAGCAAATGCAGGAAAGCAGAGCCAAAAATCTGTGCCAAGTGACTTGGACCAAATAAGCACACCTCAAAAAAGTGGGCTGGGGCACATTAGCAGGCTGAGCCAGGTCATCGGATGTAGGCAAGCAAAGCCAAGCAAGATGGCCAAATATGGTGGGCCAACATGACCAAGGCTAATGAGAAATAACAAAAATGTGGCACTGCAAACTAGGCCTGGGTTTAAAAAAAAATCGATTTCCTGATTCAAATCGATCTTCATCTGCATAATCCAATATCAATTCATAAAATCCCAGCATTGATTTTTAATACATGCTTTTTACAGTCCATGGCCTTTTCCCATGGATGTGTGAAGCTTTAACCCCGTTAGTCTCGCGTGGGCAGCCTCATGCAACAAGATCAGGCGACAAAAAACGATAAAAAACATGGTGAGAGCTGCTCCATTGAAGCTACCGTCAAGCGCAAAGACGGATGTCTAGATGTTTTTTGGATTTCAGAAATATGATAAAAGTGAAGAGCTGGATATAAGGAAAGTCGTATGCAAAACACAGGTGAAATACTGTGGAAATTACATAAATCTCTGAAACCATTTAACAAGACATCATCCAGATGAGGAATTTTTAAAAACACCTGATCTGAAACTTATTGGTCACATTAAATAAAAAGTTAATTAATGCAGCTGCTATGGGGTCAGTTATTATTACACATATTAATATTTTTAATAATACACCAGGTTAGAGGGATCCTTGTACAATTTACAACATTAGTCCTCTGAGAATCTCTTTCCTATCAAAGAAAAACTGGTATTGTAACTCAAATATCCCTAATCGAATTGATATTGGAATAAATTAAATCAAATAGGAAATCTACTAATACTACTAATACACATAAACAAGCAAGTGAAGAAAGACTACAGTAAAGGTGAATACGAGCAGAGGACAGCAAAACCAGTAAGGCCAAGCATTCAAGACCATCAGTTCCATTCAAACGAAAAAAGAGAAAATCAGAACACCTTGTTACATTCAAAAAGTTGTCTGGTGATGACAACTTACAATAGATAACTGAAAACTGCATCATTTAAGTTCTGGGTATTGATAGGCTATGTGATTCTGACACAGTGATCAGTAATGAAGGGTTAAATTAATATAATGAAAAATTGTGTGTATATACCTTAGCTGCCTCCACATATGTCCTTCCTCCTCTCATCTTAACCCAAATATGTTCATTCTGGGATATAAATTGTTTTTCTGTGGCCCCAATCACGAAGCTGACAGCAAAGACACGCTCAACCATGGGCTGCACGGACTGCAGTAATCCTCTCGCTGCTCTTGGACAAGCAAATTCATCTTCAAGCTGGTCCTCTGCCTTTTCCCCTTCTTCCTTCTGTCCCCCTGACATTATGTAGAACTCCGCTGAAGCCATGACAGAATAGTAGGGTTGCGATCAGGTGTGACAGACATAGAGTAGTCCCTGTAGAAAGAAATAATTTTATTAGGCTTAAACTACTGATAAGAAATTAATTATTCGTATATTTTAATATAGCGGTATCCGGAAAGTTCCTTTATTAGACTCCAAGACTAATACACACGTTCGCAAAAGCACGCTTCGATTATTTAGGAGGTACACTACTTCCCAAACAACAAAATAACAAATAACGAGGTAACAACACGCTTGTTATCTACATTGCTTTAAAAGAATTGTAGCCTTTCACCTTCCTTTCGGTCCCTTACATAGGCAAGCGACGCTATATCATAGTTTCGTTCTCTGGAAATGCACTTCCGCAGACGATAAAGCTTTAATTTGGACGCGACTTCGTGTATCTAGTTTATTCCTCGGTCAAATTTACTTCCGTATAGTATTTGATATTGACAGAAAAAGTATGTCAATCATTTAACAGATAACATGTTAGTAAGAATTTTAGGTATCCAAAATGCTATTTCGTAAAGCATCGGATGTTGTTGATAAAAAAGAAACTTTTAGTTGAAATAAAATACTTTGTAAAAGACGCGCATAATTTTTTCTTGAGTCCTGGTTGCATGTCATTCAACGAAGTACTGTATAAAGATAAATTATACTTTTGACCAGGATAACAAATGGTGTGTTAGAATGCACCTTAAATTAGATAAACACAATACGTGGGCTAAATATAGCATACGCTAGGCTGATTTGGACGATTAAAGTGGCAAGTCCATAGCTGTATTTTGTACAGCGTATTCATAACTTTGAGTTTTACATCAGTATCTATACACGACACATTACGGTATACAGCTCCCCCTAACTGCAGCCTCCGCTCGAAGCAGGGAGGGGAATGCCGTCAGCGTCATCAGGCACGCTTAAACGTCCTAGTTCCATGTTGCTGAACATTATTGGGTTTTATGTTATTTCAGGATTCTCTCTTTGATATAAATGTATGAACCAATATTAGAACTGAACCCGAAAAAAACATTAATGCCGTAATGGGTCACGACCAAGTCAGTTGATGATCTCAACATCTGAGATACTGACGCTTGGAAATATTGTGGCTTTTCAGCCGCTGCAGAATGAAACACCGAGATGTTAAATCAGAGCTTAAGATCAGTGAAGTAGGTTTGTTGAGGAACATGGATAGGCATATAATAATATTGACTGAGCTGTGTTGCACCACCACTCCGAAGTGTTACGAATTCACGGAATAAATATTTACGCGGGAGTTCCCTATGCCTACCTTTTATTAAAATCGAAAGTAAGAAAGACGGAACTGCCCGAGACAAATTGCACGACCACAGAGATGTTTCCGTTCAACTCAAGCCTACAGCAGTCCTGTTTTGTGTGAAACTTCTTTTCGATCTAGGAAGTTGCCTGCGCGAAAGACATCGGTACACATCGTTTTATATGTTTATGTAATGGAAATATATAAGTTTCCATTTTTGACAGATTCACATTTTACTTGTAATGGTAGACTAAAAACAGGGAAGTATGGCAAAGTGGCGAGAACTTTTCGAGCCTATGTACTGTTCCCATTTCTTTTTCTTAAAACCTAACTAACCTAGTTTAGCTATTCCGATTCTAATGTAAATGTGGCTGTGTAGGTGTCCTCTTTTCAAATGTAATGATTCATTTGAATGTGTGGATTTCATGTTCTTTCATACCGTGAAGAATGGAATTACACTCAATTGACGACTCCAACCTGGAGTTATGGAAGGAGATTGGCAAAGGAGGATTTGGGCAAGTCTTTAAGGTCAGACACAAACAATGGGGAATACCTGTTGCTGTCAAAGTGTTGCACCAAAGTGACAGGTAAGTAATTGCATTTTAATAAGATTTGCATCACTAAACTGTACTTGGTAGGAGGGCATTATCTTTTGGTGTTATGTAGAGATAATGAGAACCAACTAGCAATGATCGATATGCAAGCATTGTCGATTCATTAAATGAAAGTTATTTGTGTATTTTACTAAATATGAAGGAAGCCTTGTTCCATTGGTTCCTATGCAGGAAATATCCTGCGGAGTCATGGGCTCTTACTTCAAAATCCAAACAGTGTGTGTTTATCTTCTCGGCCTTTTGGCTAAGATCAAGTGTAGCATCTGTTCTTATCAGTTTAATATCTGATATGTCCCCCATAGAGGGAACTGCTTTTGGGCAGTGGTGGCTCGATGGTTAGGGAAGTGCACTTGTAATTGAAAGATTGCTGGTTCGAATCCCCGACCAGCAAGGCACCACTGAGGTACCCTGAGCAAGTTACCGCCCCCAAGCACTGCTCCCCGGGCGCTGAATTAGCTGCCCCCTACTATGTCACGACGTCACATATGGGTTAAATGCAGAGTACACATTTCGTTGTTGTGCACTGTGTGCTGTGGTGTGTCAACAATGACCATTGATCACCAAATTATGTACCTGCTCTTCTCATACCTCCCTCCTATGCCCTTCTACCACACCACCAGCATGGCTTTCACTAAGGAAGTGCATGTCATGTGCAAGGCCAACAGTTCTCATGTAGTTCAGATCAGAGGGAAGTACATTGGCCATCCTCCGGGCATAAAGTCCGTTACTCCAGTGCAAGGCCTGGTGATGGACTACATGGAGAGAGGATCATTGGATTCCCTTCTGGAGCACCTAGATGGGCCCCCACCGTGGTCCCTGACTCTCCGCTTTGCACATCATGTGGCTGTTGGCCTGAATTTTCTCCATGGACTCAACCCACAAGTTCTTCACCTTGACCTCAAACCCAGCAATGTGTTGTTAGACTGCAGGCTCAATGCCAAGGCAAGTGCTAAATCAGGCAGTTAAATAGATTTATCAATAAGTTATGTCTGAGGATCTTTCTTTATTGTTTTACATATCATTAGTGCTGTTCCCGATTGTAGGGATAATACGGTGTTATGTTACAGTTCTACATAGATTTGATAAACGAGTTCATTGACTTGCTGTTATTAACAATGCTGTGTAGAACAATGTGAAAATGCACTTTAGGAACAGAAATTCTTCTTATTTGTTCCCATATTCTCATTAATATGAATCTTCAGCACCATTTAAATTTAATGGTAAGAAATGGTAAAAAAAAAAAAGATGTGGTAAATTAGCGTGGGTTTACGGTTTGTATGTTCTCCATTTCTGAATGTTACTTTTACTGAACTTTTCACATGTTGCACTGCATCTTAACTGCATGCTTGCATTTCATATTGTGAATTTAGTTATGTCCAGATTCAAATACTGTCTGGAAAACATACCAGTAAGGTCAGTGCTCAGGTTTAACATTATTAACTTGTATCTCTGTCTCTTTACAGGTTACAGATTTTGGCTTAGCCAAGATTCTCAGTGGCACTTCTTGTTCCAGCAAAGAAGAAGGTGGGACAACTAGCTACATGCCCCCAGAGGCCTTTGACTTGAGTTGCAAACCCACACCTGCTTCTGATGTTTATAGGTACCATAAAGCTCAAACATCGACACAATAGCCAGGAATATCAGAATAATACTTTTAATAACACCAGTGACTGTCACAGTAATAGCAAACTGATTGACAAAATAAAACTCTACACTGACAACTGCCTAGCTGAAACACAGATCAACTAGCTATGAGCTGAGAAACTAAAACAGCAGCTGACAAACAAATGTGTAGCAACAAACAATTCAATGAATGATATGTGTTACAGTACAGGCAGTCCCTGGTGTACGAATGTCCAACATATGGACAACTCATATTTACGATTAGACTGCCATGGAGCCTGTTATATTTAATATTCTGGGTTAAATAGAATGGCTCATAGTAATGAACGCATGCACTACTTTGTGACGCTCATGAAAACATTGTGCGGCTTCAATGGTTCGCTGGCTCAAGGTACAGTACAGTATTTAGTTTCTTTAATTATTACTGTATAATTATTTTTATTATGTACTCAGGGGCGGATTAACGCACAGGCTAGATATGGCTTAAGCCTAGGGGCCCCACGTGTGCCAGCCTGCAAGGGGGTCCCCATTGGCGCGGAGGGGGGTGGGGTTGGGGGGCCCACAGACTACTGTAGCCTAGGGGCCTCTGTACACCTTAATCCGCCCCTGTATGTACTGCACGTACATAATAACTACCATGTACATATTATTATTATTATTATTATTATTATTATTATGTACAAATTCAACTTACAACAGACTTAGAGAATGGAACTCATTCGTAACCGGGGGCTGCCTGTGCAGTTTTCATACTGAGAGTTAGATCAGCTCTCTGCATGTCTTTGTTTACATACTGTTTGTCTGTCTTTATTACAGCTATGCTATACTTCTCTGCTCCATCCTCAGAGGAGGGCAGCCCTATCCCAGTAAGTGAACAACTCAACATCACATACTGAGAAGCATACATGTAAAGACATGCTCCACATCCATAAATACTTATCCCCTCCATTCGTTGCCATAGTAATAGTTTATCCGTCCTCTGTTGCATGTGGCTCTCCTTAGAGATACATAGAGGTGAGAGCAAGGGGTCACTAATCAGTCTGTAGGTTCCTAGATTTGAACCATTGATCATCCAGTCACAGACACAGAATTCCAACCTTCTGAGCCACACATCACCCCATTGTTCTCTCTCCAATTAATTGTTCTCTCTCTTGGCCTCCAGATCTACCCTATATGTCCTCCTTGCTGAAGTTTCGTATTCCTGAGGGAGATCGGCCTGAACTGGATAAACTGGCTTTAGGAGAGGCAAAGGGGCTGCAGGAACTAATCAACCTCATAAAGAAATGCTGGGATAAAGACCCTCTGGCCAGGCCCTCATTCTCCGGTAAGGGATCGGAGGTATCACTTCCATTCCGTTAATTTGTCAGTCTAGCAAACATTCAGTTGTTGTATCAGGAAATTTTAGCATCTTCATTTTGTCTTTGAATGGAATTGTGCTCTGTTTTGGACAGTCTGCATGCACAAAGTTGAGGGATTGCTGGAGCCGCTTAAATGTGAAATCGACAGTGATGTGCACAAGGTTCTGAAGTCACTGGTACGTGCTATTGCCTCACTATTTCAATGATCACAAATATTTACTGAAGGGGAGCCTCAACCACCCCCTCCCCCATCCCCCTGCCCGGCAAAAAGTCGGCAACACTCCTTTGTTCGAGCACCTGCTCTTCAAAACGTCTCTGTCTGTCGCTGCTACACAGTATGGTTGACATTTTACAAAACACATCCTAGCACATACATTTTTGTTCTACACCTTTGGATGATTCACTTGTATTTTCCATTTTTCTGTGCTGCACTGATGTAAGACATTTTCAACATTGTCCAAAGATAGAAAGAATATCAATTGATTTGTATCTGTGTTTTTGATTTTTTTCTAGGACTCAGATGAAACTCAAATTGAGAAGCAAATGGGTACCTTGAACCTCTCAGCCTCTCTGAAGTCACGTACTGGTACAGCTTTTAGAATGTCCTTTTATTGTTTTTATATTACTGTTCATTAACATGCTTTGTGTGTTTGTTTCTGATCTTGTAATGGTTATTGATAGCCTCGAGGTTGGATTTTAAAGTGGGATGTGAAGGGTATGCCATTGATAGCCGCCTTGAGCTACAAAAGACTTTTGGTGGCGTATTTCTGTCATTGAGATTCATCCTCAGTTAGGTTGCATGTTCTTGGATGAGAATAGCTGAGGAGGGTGAATTCCCCTCTGGAGACTGCGGTTGTGATCTACTGTGGATATCAAGGCAGGTGGTTTGAGTGGATTTAATTATGTGCCCACTGAGGTGTTAGTAAAACGGTGAGAAATGAGAAATATGATGGTTTGTGTGTTTGCAAGGACACTCTTCAATGTAGTTATGTGGGGTTAGTAGTAAGGGCACTTGGGTGCTGATCTTCCAAGTGGGATTTTATTGTATGCATGAAGGCAGTGGAGTGCTGAGTGCCAGTTGAAGGCCCCCTGGTGGTTAAAACGTTTACTGTTTTCCTTTACAGAGAACCCAAACACCGTGAAACCCATTAAGAGTGACTTGGGCCCTATGCAGGTAACTGCTGGCCCACACTGTGTTGTTCCTGATATAGAAGCTGGTGGCCATCAGTCACATATTAACTTTCAATTTTTTTCCAGGATTTGCCTGGCAGTTCTGCCAGTCAGCGTGGTGACAAAGGTAAAAGCCCTTTCAATTGATAGTACATGTGACACACATAAAGGGGGCATGTTTAGGTATATAGATAAATTGACATGTGGGGCTATTTTTATGTGCGCCACCATGTAGCATGTAATTGTATTGAGACTATGGAGGGAAACTAGAGAAGGGGTTAATCACAGAGTGTGATTTATTCACACTGATCCAATCAGTGTCCTTTATGTCTTCCTAGGCACTCCAGCCCTTCCGGTATCAACCAGACAAATCAGCATCAGAGCTTCCAATGTTTCTGGGGTACAGATTGGTAATAACAACAACATGTTCATCCAGAGATCCGGTCGTCACAGACACAGAACAGCACCCTCCTAGTCTCTGCATCCAGAGGTCCAGAAACTGTGATCACCTGCCCTGGAGCAGGGGAGGCTTTTACTGTTGTCATGGCTACTGAGTTACTTTTGCAAAACTTCCACATGGGTCCCAGTGCTGAGTGTAAGCTGTACCTGCATTAGGAGCATCAGCACGTATCTGCACAAGTTCTTGAAATGACCTGCAGCCCTGGTGCTTAGTGAAAGGAGCAGAAATCAACGACATTTTTCAGACAAAAACTTAACTAGCTTTTTAGTTTTTTTATGATTGTCAGAATAAGATAACGGGTATCATTAATTGCCGTGTTTTGATGTGTCTGTCTGTTGGTTAACTTTCTGTTACACAAACATGATCAAACAGTATGAGTTTGTTAGTAAAGCACAGTTGCACACCCACAGGCTGAATAGGTTATGCTGCCGTTTGAAGTCGTATTTAATAGCAAAGACATAACCAAAAATAAGGATGACATCCATTTTTCCACTGCCCAACCAAGCTGGCAAGCAAAACGGTTGTCATGAAACTCCATCGCACTTCACAGTACAAATACACATTGACATTGCTTAAATTGTCAAAGACACCAGTGAAATATAATTGAAAGAAGTTCTGGTGAAGTATACCAGAACCCACTTACACCATGCAAACATTAGAACACTCTTTGTGTTATCAGCAATAAATTCTGCAGCCGAAGAAAACAATTTGTTTGAACTGAGTATCATTACTGTTTGCCTTTCATCGCTGCTTCCGCTGTCGGCCCACGGGACCGGTTCCAGGAGCGGTGAGAACAAGCGGCAGGTCTCCTGGTGTGGAGCAAAGCGGCGCAGCTAATCGCTTGTGGCAGGGCAGCGGGTTCCGGGTCTGTCTGCCAGAACCGCCATCTGTGAGCGGATCCCACAGCCGGGCAGGACAGCAGGACCACCGTGAGCTTCTGTGGCTCCTCGTCCCGCAGGGCTATTCTTGCGTGCGCAGGGTTAGGGTCAGGGAGGGGGGCTCTCTTCCTGTCTGCTTGTGTGTGTCGTGAGGGAAATGGAACACCGCATTGCCGTGCGTGGAACAGCTCTGTCAAAGCAAGCGTGCCCCTACCGCCAAGCTGGCGGCGCAACGGAGCATGGCGACCGACACACGAGGTTCTCTCCTTTATTGGCATTCTGTGTTCTGAGTCAAATGGCAGATGATTCAGAAACATACAGAGATACACAAGGTCACACGACACACAATGTGGGCAGGCATGGAATCTCCATGTTGTTCTGAGTCCTTTCTGAGCAGAGGTACTGCTCTGGGATCTGTACCTGGTTATGCAAAATGATGGAAAGAACAGTGAAATATGCAAGGTTTTCTACTTTAATTCTTATAATACATTTGTTACATAAGACTACAGAAGCCCCATCACCGCTAATGATCCCGGTACGAGGTTGGTATCCATAGCATATGCGTCACAGACACAACCACAGAGTCAATGGAGACGCAGAGATGTAAATCAGAACTTTTGAAAAGATCACTTCCTTCTCAATTTCCCTCCAGGATACGTGTGGTTGCTGTCGCTACAGGAAGTATGCTTTTCTGTCTAAGTACATAAGTGTAAGCCCTGACTAATTATTTTATTTTGTATTATCCAGATTCTGATATGACCTTTTGTTAAGTTATTTCAGTTTATAAATTTTCATGTTTTGTGATCTAACACTGCAGTGCGAACCAAGCACATTTTATAAATGTATCAGTCATGGATGGAAATGTTTCCAAACACTGAAAGATTGTGTGTTTACCTGTGTTAATTGATACTTTCCCTCACAAAAAAAGTTGACCCGCGTATTCCATCCATGGACAGCAACCATAACGGTTCAGGTTTAAACCCTGAACTATGTGGAACAGCAGAAGTGAAATGCCGGTGAATTTGCTTGATAAGCACTCTGTGGGATAAATACCGTCAAACACATAGAAATGGTTGGAACAAAAAAAATGCAAGAAAAAAACTTCAGAACTTAAGAGTTTAAATCACATACACACCCACAACCCACACAGAGACACACCCAAACATGCACACTTGCATACATGCAAATAATTAGCCAATAAAGTGTTTTCTTCCTCTCCCTTGTCTGTCTCAGTCTCTTCCCTGTGCTTCATGTTCTTCTTCTTGAAGACTGTTCATGTAGTCAATGAAAATCTTCTTGCCGCTTTATTTTGCATGCTCTTCGTGTCTTGTCTGCTGATGCATTTCTCTCCCCATATCGTTTCCTCCTTCTGTCCATCTCCCTTCTTCTCCCATCTCTCTCCTCGCCTCTCTAAAGAGGGAAGACCAAGAAGCCCGAGAAGGTGGAATACTTCCAGCCGCCCATCAGGTTCCCCCTCTCCAGCTTTAAGTAAGCCTTGTCCCCTCTCTCCATGATGACCAGCCCAGCGTTCGTTGCTGCCTCTCGAGTCACGTCTTGGTCACCGGCGAAGGCCGAGATCACAGGCCAGCCATTTAGTACCAGGCTCACCTGAAGGAGGACAGAAAAAGGTCAACATGGTTCATCAGTTAATTGGTCTTTATGTGCATTTACATTACATTTAATTAGCAGATGCTACAATAGAGATAGCAGGGTTAGTTCCTGGGCTAATGGTCTTACTGAAGGGCCCGATGGTGAAATCGCTATGCTGACCATAGGATTTTAACCGATGACCTTCCGTTCACATGACGCACCAAGCCCAAACCCGCAGAGCCTCATACTGGCCAGTATGTAGCCCTCCTCGCACGTGTCTCATCGCACCTGTATTGTCTGTCTGTTGTACACTTTGACCACGTGGAAGCTGAAGCTGTACACGCCCTTCCTCGGGGCCACAAAGATGCTGCGTGCGGGGTCAAAGTGGCCACCAACGTTCACCAGGATCTGAGCGTGGGAGACAATCGTCAATTGTGGATCACAATAATTTATGTCAATCTAAAAAAAAAAAAAAAACTTTTTTTAATTGAGGTTGTCAGCATCTGGAAGCTTTCCAGGGTACACATCCTGGATTGGATGCCAAGGCATTGCAGGGCACTTGCGCATATGGTCATATAAATACTCATGCAGTAAAAACAATTTAAACTCATCAGTTGACCTTTAATTTTCCAGTGTGAAAATGTAATATTTGGAGCAACCCCACATCTACATGGGGAGACAAAGCTGGTGTGATTTATGCCTGCAACCATAAAGGGAAGTGAGGTCACAGCACAGCCCAGTCTGATACTGTACTGCCTGAAATATAGTGTCATATTTTTTTATCATCTCCAGGCATAGTTGGTCACGCACCTGATCAAAGTAGATGGTCATGGTGCGGTTGCTCATCTCAGATGGCTCGTGGTTGGTGTTGCGGATAGCTGAGAAGGCCACACGGCCAGTCCCAGAGCGCACAGACATGCCCAGTGCATTTCCTCCTGCCGGCTCCGTGGAGGGCGTGGAGTCGCACACCACCAGGCACTTCCCCTCCAGCACGATGGGCTCAGTGTCATTCTGTCCCCAGACTCCAGTGGGAACCCCAAGTGTTATGAGCATGAGGAGGAATTGGATGTAATGTCCCACTTGCAAAGGAATGTAGATCATTCTGCTGACTGGACTTTGTCGTGCCCTTCCGGGATTTATATTTCTATTTCGCAGAAAGTGATTTATTTATCTAAATAGCCGCAGTTAATGTCTAACCTTTAAACTCTACTGCTGATTTGCATAAATGACCATTAATATGAATCACATGTAAAACAAACTATGTCATCTTCATTGCTTATATTGACTGTAAATCCAGATGTCCACAGTATTTCTGCTGGTTCTCAGTGACTCTCAGTGAAGGTCCTTCCTGGTCTCTGCTAGTATTATGTCCCCTCTGATGAGTCTCAGAGCCTTAGAGTAGTGCCAGAGATTGTAGCAAAGTCCATTGTCAAGAGAATGTCTTGAAAGAAAAGAAAAATAAACTGGTCACTTTGAAGTACTGGGTTTTTATCCCGTGAAGTTGCAGAATCAAAACAACCTGGGTCAGCCAAAAACTTCCATCATGCTCCCTGATTGGTGGTCTATCTCAAAGAGGAACAACTCAGAGTGAGATTCTTCAACAAGACATCCACAAAGACATGGGGGAGAAAAAGATTGAAAGTGTTAGATTTCGCACAATGTGAGCAGGACATAATTTATGGTTGCGAGCAGGGTGCCAATGCCAAGCAGATGTTTAGGAAAAGAAATGGAACAGCATTTGAAACAATAAGAGTAGGATTATGGTTTTTGTAGCGAGAAAGTAATCATGCGTTGGAGGACAAAGTTAGGTAGAGGAAGAGAAGAGGAGATGAGATCATGTTTTGGCGTGCAGACAGACACAGGCAGGACCAGCTGGATTCAAACGGGTGAAAGATGGAGCAAGGACTCTGCTGTGAGACCATCTGTCCCTCCACCGCGTTCCCTCTGTGCAGTCCCTCGTGATCACCCCTCTGTCCCCACGCATTCCCAAGCAGCCCTTGCTCTCTGCCCCATCTTCTCTAAATGTCCTACAATCTTCTGCAGCTCTCTCCATCTCTCATGCTGCCAGGTATCCTTCTCATAAACCATCTCCTCCCATGTTTTCCCTCATACTGTGTCCTTCCACAGCAAATCCTACAGGTCGCCTTAAAATTTGCCCATGAAGCACTGACCATTCAGACCTAATTTCGTGATGTTATTTAACCTTGTCTATAGCCTGTAGCTCATGACTATGACACAGAAATGTAACCGTGTTTTTCCTCTTAATTAATTCCCCTTTTAATCTTAGGATATATCTTTCTTTGTCCCATTTTGACCTTATCTTTGTCTGCCCTGTACAATTCTTGGTTTGACAATTTGTCTTATCCATTGTTTCACAAGTCTGACCTTATCTTCATTAGAGAGGTGTAAGTGCACTACTCCCTGACTTTTCTGAATTATATCATTAATAGTTTGTATATTAGCTCATCACATTGTGTATCAATCAATGCTGTATCAAACTAATCAGTATCACAGAGCTCCTGTTTGAGATCAAGCCATTTCCCAGTAGGATAAAAAATATATACTCAGTATAACTTTAAATGCTAAAATGTACTAAGTATGTTTTTTTGGTCAGATATGAAGAGTGAAGACTAGCAGAACACAGCAAATACACCTGTACTATAAAGATAACTCACATAAAGTGATGACACATTATGACAAAGACTGCAGTGGCTCTTAAGGCTGTTACTGCCGAAGCCCCCAAACCAGCCTAAAAGGTAACCCCAGCAATCAGACACATTCCTCACCAAAAAGCTAAAAACGTACCTGATCGGAGGTGAACAGTGCGCTGTAATCCTTCAGCACCGTACACGGCTGATGCTCGTGCTGAGACTCTCTCGTCGTCTCTCCTCAGATGCTTTCTCTGGCAGCCGAGCTACAGTTGTCCCACCATCGAAGCAGCTTTCATCCCCTGCTCCCTCTTTCTGTCCTCCCTCAGCTCCCGTGCCACTCCCCCGGACCCCCTACCTGAACCACAAACGCACTGCTCCCTGCCTTCCCTGCCTTCCCGTTTCCTGACATATGCTCACCTCTATCTTTTAATTATTTATGATTAATTTAAATGCATCAGATCACTTTACTTAGATTTTGCTCCCATACTAACATTGATGCTGCAAATGAATTATACATAGATTCATAACAAATCATACACACAATATTACAGAGAATTGCATACAGATTCTGTTAACAGTTGTAAAATTTAGAAATAATGATTATTTTAATTTCCCAGATGGACACATTACTTTTGCAGAGAAATGACTGTTTTACTGTTTGAAAAATAAATGTTTTCTTTAGCATGTATAACCCCTTTTTCATTTTGACCCATTTTGTGTTATCTTTCATTTGCTTTCACAGGAGCAGGTAGTGTTAGAGTTATGATGATGTGACTTTGAGTTGGGGGGTGGGGGGTGGGGGGTTTGGTCGGGGGAGGAGCCCTGTAGTGAGGTACCAACCTTGAGTTTCTCAAAATAGCCAACAGTATAACTGGGTCTGATACAGCTTGACATCAGAAGTGACTGTGCATGTTTTTCATTGTAGGACAAAGTTTGAGAAAGTGTTTATAAGAGCTCCAGGAAAATCAATGTTGTGAAATTGTCATTTTTATTTTATTTTTATATTTTAGTCTTAGGATTGTTCACAGTGTTGAAATAAGAATCAATGGGAAGCTACAAAAGGGATATGCATCACAAGCACAAGAGATGGGCATTATTTCAATTAATTGTATTTAAAATATGTATATAATTCCTGTTATGTATATTATTCCTTTTCGTGTAATTTGTAACTTTGCATTTTATGTATTTATGCATTTAAAATATTTAAAATATGTCATTTTATTTATTTATATTGTGTCATTTTAAGAACATTCATCACATGGCTTACAGACTTAAATATTCTATCACTGTCTTTAGTTAGATGCAAGTAAATCCTGTGACCCAGGGCCAGCCAATCTTATGGGCATCATAGGCAGCTGCCTAGGGCACCAACTTCTAAAGGGGCACCAACTCGCCAGCCAGTGTTACTTTGCCTCAGATGAGGGGCGGCGACATTGATGCTCGCCTAAGTGTCACGTCGTCAAGGACCGGTACTGATGTGACCCATCCTGTTGGGTCCAGCATGCTTGTTGTGAACTTCATTTTCCCATGACCAGTAATTCAAGAAAAGAAGCTGCTTTGGTTCTCAGTGAAAATTGCCTGAAGGTAAAGCATGCAGTAAAATACACTATCGAATATCGCTCACTGTATGTTATTTTAGGACAGAAAAACAGCGGCCAAATAAATGGCTTGATAATGTAAAATAAAATAGATTTTTCTCCTTTCACTTTAAAGACTTGGGATTGTATACCGACTTTTAACCAGCGGCCTTCGTTATCAGCGCAATAAAGCTGTGTGGGTAAACGATAAGGGGGGGTATCTTTGGCATTCAGTCTCACCAATATGGCAAAAAAAAGCATGAAGAGTATGATACCCTACCAAAATTAGTTTCATCTTCGTGCTCGGCTTGCGGCAAATAAAAGTTTTGTTTTTTGGAATTTCCTGGATGTGTTATTTTTTTTCTTGCGTTCTCCATTCGGGAAGATAGACGCAGACATGATTTATTTCTAACGGGGAGCAGCCTGTGCTTGTCAGAACCTGGGTGCAGTGCTGTAAACTATCAGGGTTTGGAGGTCCTTCCCACACATTGCAAACTGCAGGTCTTTGGAAATGGGTGGATGGGCTGCGTTCGTGTCCAAGATCAGCTGACTGCCAACTGTGCTGGCCATGACAGATAAACAGAGACAGGTATGCAAACATAAAATAATCACATATTTACTTAGCGGACGAGTAAGAGAGTAAGGTTAGCCAGAATCTCTGGAGCAACTGGGGTTAAGGGCCCTGCTCAAAGGCCCAACGGTGAAATGATTATTATGCTGAACATGGTCACAGAGACCTAACCCACTGTGCTACGCACATAAAGACATGGCTACACGCGCAGATAGAAAAACAGCGTGCATAAACAGCGTGCATAAACTGCGACAAGCTGTCAAGCCCCTAAATATTAGGCACCACATGATTACGTATGTAATGCATCATTTTGAAACCATGACAAACATCCATCAAAAATAAAGTAAATCTTTTTTTTTACAAGTATTACACATTTTCACATAACAGACGATCGCAATCACCACTCCCACTTGTTTACATCTAAGGCAATTCAGCATTTTTATATCCAGACCAGGTTCGAATTTCTTTTGACAATGCTAAATATTGTAATTATTGGTACACAGATAAAGTAGTGTGTGCCTGCAGGCGGAGTGGAATCAGACTGTTGTTCTTGGTGCTATCCAGTGCATTTAGTCCATTATTCAATTCCTGCAAGCTACATCTTCATTAAAATCATCTTAGCTAACTGAATTGCTCTTTGGGGCGGTGATAAGTATGCTCGACTTAAGGTGCTTTTCCACTGCTACCAAGAACCGAGCCGTACCGTGAAGAGACAGTTTCCATCTTAAATTATGTGAGCTTTACCCGACCTGTACCTGTGCTGACATGGCCCAGCTTACTTGCCACAAGCCTGACCAAACCAAGCTGCTTTCATCACCACTATCTAAATTGTTGAAATGCAAGGAGATACCAGTGTTCTGCATCGATATGCATGGACTATCTTAAGGAAAAAAGGGCATATTCTATATATTATTAATTATTAGTAGCATTGCATATTGCGGTGTACTGATGCATTCCTGATAACTCAGACCTAAAAATTCCCAGCCTAACTACTTGAAAAAGTACCATAGAACGGCTAAAAATGTAATGCAGTTTTACTCAAGTAAATAATAATTCAGCTAGCATTTGATGCTAACATAACACGATGATTTTCACCGATGTACTAGCGGAAATGAACACACAGTGAATCATGATGTACACCGTAGGAACGTTAAATAAATGGCTCTTTGGTTTTATGTCACCGTCACTCCCCAAACCCGGGCAACACCTATACCAGGCCATCTCTTCTGCAGTGGAAAATGGAAGCAAACTGGAACCGTGCAGTAACTGGTGTCTCTTCGCAGTATTGGTCAGGTATGGCCTGCTTCCTGTATGCCAGTGGAAAAGTGCTATTAGATTAACGTTGTTTTAGCTTCTTCGCACACATTTGTGTCTTGGTGATGAACTGGTGGTACCATCTATCAGTGTGCACGTTTTTAGCAAGATCAGCTGGGATCTCATGGCAGAAGACCAGCATGTCCTACTTTGAATTTGATGATGAGGCACTTTGGATTACATTCTCATCCTGCACCTGGCTCTCCTACTATCTGCCATGCAGTTTGGACCAACACCAAGCTTGACACTGAAACCCTTAGCACAGTGTTTCTCAACCCAGTCCTCAGCGAACCCCAGCCAGTCCACGTTGTTGCTTCCTCTCAGCTCCCAGTGCACCTGTACCAGCTATTCGGTGTTCCTGATTGGCTGGGAGCTGGGAGGGAGCAAAAACGTGGACTGGCTGGGGTTCGCTGAGGACTGGGTTGAGAAACACTGCCTTAACAGGATGGTAGGTGTCAGTCATCAGTGGGATGAAATAATGTGACGTGGCACTTTGGCTCAAAGCTATGGTATGGCTATTGGGTAAATGTATTTCAAATGAGCACCAAAACATCCATTCTTGATTGGTGACATTTTCTATTCTGCATTCTACAAAAAAAAGACAGTTTTATGTTATTTTGGTTTATCTCCAAAGCAAAAGGTATGATCAGCAAAATGGTGGGTTAGTCATTGGGCTCCTTATAAGGGTGAATTACGATAAAACATAAAGGATAAAAGAAGTGTTGTGCAAAAAAGGACCACGACTTGTGTGTTAAATGAACCAGGGAATGTTCCCAGAACTTTGGCCAACGTTATGTGAAGGTTTTCTCAAGGCTGGCAGATAACATTCTTACTGTAATGTTAATTGAATGTTATTTCCACGTTTTTCATTTCAGCAAAGGTCAAGATTGCTTCCTGAACATCCTTTTAACATAATTAATGTTGAAAAATATTGCTTTGCAATAAGATTATTTTATAAAATTGCCATATGTATGCACAGCAAACATGCCATCCAGCCTCAAACCCACGACCTTTGAGGTGTGAAGCGTCAGTGATTCCTGCTGCTCTAGCATGTCCTTCTTTGTGTTTATATTATTAGTCCTAGTTGTAGTAGTAGGATAACGTTCTGGGAACATCAGGAAAACTGCACACTTTGAACATTTCCGTACATTAATCGTAACGTTCAATTAACGTGCCTAGAACAAAAAACTCTTAGCAGGGTCAGAGCCATAAATATTCTAGTCTGGTTGTACAGGGGCAGTGGATCGATGTATATCACTAATTATGGAGCCTTAAAGGGAAAAGGGAGCGGATCAAGCAGCAGAAGAAGTGGGAGCCACTGAGGACAAAGTAGGCATGAAGAAACCATGGGGTCTGAGGCAGAGCTGTTTGCATGACTGCAGCCATGATGGCCAGAAAAGAGAGTGAAAATGTAAAGGCATGGAAATGGACTGAGGGCAGCCATCAGGGCAACAGATGATAAAGGGCAGCTTACAGGAAATACTGTTGAAGGAGCAGTCAGTGGAGCAGACAGTGCAGGGTGAGAACCGGGCAAAGCAGCAGGCAGCGGGACTGGAACGGTAGGTGCAAAGTTAACGTCATCCGAAATCACGGACCGGGAAGCGGAAGCAGCAGGCAGCTCGCTGAGGAAAGTACAGCGACACACGGCCATGGTAAGGAAGACAGCAGATACTGAGTGGCACTTAAAACTCTTCTCTAGTTAGCATTTAGAAGGACATTTGCTTTCTTACACCGAAAGTGCACATTTAAGGTGATGGTGAGTGGCTCCGTGGGCTAAGCCTCTGTGTCTGTGATCGGAGGATCACCGCCGTGGGCCTCGGCAGAATTGTCACCTGTCTGTGGGACCTTGAGCAAGGCCCTTAACCCCCAGCCCCAGGGGCGCTGCACACTAGCTGAACCTGTGCTGTGACACCAAGCTCGCTCTCACCTGCATGTGTGTCTCATGGAGAGCAAGATGGGGTAGGCAGAGAGAAGCATGCCGATGGCAAATGATCCCGAGAGATGCAGTGAGTTTTTACAGTGGGTACAGTGGGTTTGAATATGGAGCAGATGTGTCCAGAACAAAAGGGCCCGCTGGTAATGAAGTGTGTGTTCAGGTAAGGTCTGCACATGTGTTTTCGCATCTGAGAGTTCAGTGTCACCAGAATGAGTAGGAAAGGGTGGATCCAATGGATGTGGTGGAGGTCCCTCATTACCACCCCCCTCCCATGAACTGCGGTATTGCAGTGCTGTGGGCAGTGGTGGCTCGATGGTTAGGGAAGTGCACTTGTAATTGAAAGATTACTG